CCTTAACTTAAAAGTTTAGTTAGAGAAAACTGAATAGGCTTTATGCTTTAGCTCCCCGATGAAATAATGCAATGCCATTTACAAGGATTTTTTGATATTGGAAGATTTCCACACTTGATCGGGAAGATACCAGGGTTAAAAGATGAAGGTTGACCAGGACATCTGTTCTAGTAGGTGTGTACGACACAGGCCCCAAGCCAGCCAATCTAGTAGCCCTGCACGAGGATGAACAGACTCCAGGTGCAGGCGACATGGCTTAGACTTGTTTCTCCCTGGCTCTCTCCAAAGTACAACTGTAATCCCTGGGGGGAAAATACAAGCGTCAAATAAAGAAATACTCTGGAAGTTGGGAAGAGGAAAGCAAACAGGTTAGAGACCCCAAGCCTGGATGAGTGACACAGCGGCCGAACAGAAAGAGGCAGCCCGGGCCAAGTCTAGCAGCAGAAGGTGGCACCAGTGGGTTTACTGCTCCAGGATTTAATGCAAGTCCTGCCAACACCACCACGCTAGCACAGCAACAATGGCAACACGTGTGGTGTGGGAGTCCCACTGACAACAGAAAGCTAGGAAGAGTGATATGCTTCCTTGCTGAGGCCAAGGTGTGTCTCTGCCGGGAGACAGTGAGGTGGCTAGGTGACAGCCCCAAGAGGACCCACCATAAGCAGCTTCTCTGTCCCTATGAGCCAGATTCCCTTCTCCCACTTAGACGTACCAGATGGCTCTAGCCTCAAGAATCCCCTGCTCCTCCTGGCCGCACTGTCAGGGCCCCAGGAGCCCCAGTGGCACCACAGAAACTGACCAGATCAGAAGAGCACTGCAAAGCCTCTGGACATTAAACTGTCATTAGAATCTCATCCCACAGTCGTAGACTGGGACCTGTGTGGCAAACCTAAGCAGGGGACTATCTGCTACAACTCAAGATTTACATAGGACTTACCCAAAATATCCAAGATTCAACAATATTCCAACGGGTGGAAAATCACCCGTTGGACCGAGAACCAGAGAAATAACATCTGAATGAGAAAAGACCATGAACTGATGCTAACAGCAAGATGAATCAAATGTTGGATTTATCCAAAACAGGATTTAAAGCAGCCATCATTAAAAAAAAAAAAAAAAAAAAAGGCTTCAACAATCAATAACAAATCTTCTTGCAACAATCAAAATATAGGAATCTCGACAAAGAAATGGATGTTATAACCAAAGAACCAAATGGAAATTACAGAATGGGGTGAGGGGGAGGCTCCCTGGATAGGCTCAATGACAGATAGAGATGCCAGGACCAAATCAGTGAACTTGAGGACAGAGCAAGAGTATTCACCCAATCTGAACAAAAATCTAACATAACCTCAAGGACCTGTGGGACTATGACAAAAGATCCAACATTTATGTCATCAGAGTCTCAGAAGGAGAGGAGAAAGAGGATGGGGCGAGCTTCTGATGAAACAAGACAGATTCAAGAAGTGGAGAAAACTCCAAACAGGATAAACCCGGCAAGGCACATTAAAATTAAGCTTCTGAAAACCAAAGACAAAGAAACAAACTCAAAAGCAGCCAGAGAGAAACAAGACACTACCCACCAGGGGGACGCCGGTTCAAACCACAGACCTCTTATCTGTAACAGCAGCCAGACAGAAGTAACACATGACGTCGCTCCAACGCTGAATGAAAAGAACTCTAAATTCTATATCCAGCAAAACTATCCTTCGGGAATGGAGGGGGAGAGAGACATTCTCAGATGAATAAAAAGAATTTGTTCTAAATATCTCTACCCCTTAAAGAATGGTTAAAAGAAAAATAAAGGGGAAACAGCCGATCCAAGTGATGGTGATGGAGAGGAGGAATTTAGGGATCATAGTCAAAAAAGGCCTTTCTGAGGAGGGTACATTCCAGCAGACGCCTGGAGAAAGGGAGAGATCAAAGTGAGAAGGTGCATTCCAGGCAAAGCAAATATTGACAGAATCTTAAGGCCGCAATGGGTTTGTTGTGCTCAAGGAACAAGAACAAGGCTGTTGGGGCTAGAGTGGGATGTGTGAAAGGGGTGGCAGCAGGACACCATTTGGAAAAATGAGCCAAGGATCCAATTTTGTGGGGATTTAAAGCCTTAGTAAAAAGCCTAGATTTTCATCCTGCTGGTTGTAGGACATCTTCGCAGTGTATCAACGGGGGTTTTATGAAGGAACTCATGTAAGCTGGCTGCCGGGTGTGTGGTTTTAGACATAAAAAATGGTTCTCACTGTGAATGGGCACCCGAGTTGGCTGGTAGTCTTCAGGAAACGTGAGGCCTGGCCCCACCCTCAGAGTTTCTGACTCCATATGTCTGATTTGGGGCCCGAGAACCTGCATTTCGGTAAGTTTCAAGATGCTGCTGCTGCTGGTTCCTGAACTAGACTCGAGAACCAATGCTCAACAGAATGATTGTGAGCCCTCCTGCACCTAAGGTAGGATAGAGAAGAGGGACTTTAAAATTGCCGGAATAGTAATGATATTAAGAAACATGTGTGTCATTCCTGCCATTTCAGAAAACAGCACAGTAGAAAAAGGGAGAGAAAAATTTAACATTTGCCATTTAACATCTACTATATATATCAGAGGGGTCATGCTCAGAGTATCATAAGCTTTGCGCCATAGCATGAGGTAGGCTGTGATAGCCCCCATTTTACAGAAGAGAAAACTGAAGTCAAGAAAAAGGCAGAATCACTCATCCAAAGTTACGCAGCAGGTGCGTGAACAAGGCGGAAGGAGTTCGGGTTTGTCCATCCTTGTGTGTTTTCCTCTAAGCCAACTTGGAAATACGTCTTCTAACGGCATTTGGAGCGACAATGTCAAAACGGTAGAAAAATATGTAGAAGATGCCAAATTTGCTGTACCTTGAGACAGGGGAGCCATGGAAGGAAAGCTGCTTGACCTATCAACAGCTTTGGCTTTCAAATGTCAGAGGCGATCAATTCTAAGTAGGAAGGTCCCACCCCACAATCCACACAGGCCTGGAAAACAGGAGCAGTGGGTTCCAGGCCTACCTCCCCGACATCACTTGTCATAATCGTTGGCAAGGCCATTCCGCTCCCTGAGCGCGTTTCAAGATAGTGGGTGCTGTGTGGTCTGACAAGGGTGGTGGTGGTGGCTGTTGGTCTTTGAGACATTTCAACTGAAACAGCCATGTCACACTTTGTAAACTGAGACACTAACATAAGCAGTTGGCCACTCTGCTGCACTCACCTCCAGCCACACGTGTGCTCTGTCTGCAGGCTGGATCTCAGTGGATGGTGTAAAAGTGAACACATGATCATTTTTGATGGAAACTCTACCAAGAGCTCTCTGCTGAGAGAAAGTCTGCATTAAAACCAACTATGTTCCACTCGAGTCATTTCCCAGTTCAGAAATCCGGACTCCCAAGAAGCCAGAGGTGCCTTAGTCCTCCATTACTCCTCTGGAATCCCTGGTTCCCATTTAAACAGAAACTTCCAGAAGCATCTCCCATACACACAAGGTTACACAGATACGTGTCCTGGGTGTTTGAAATTGTGGGTCTCTTTCTTCAGAGACATCCATTCTTTAAAGCAGAGGTTTTCTAACTCGCGTGCATGAGAATCACCCGGAGAGCTTGTGAAATCAGATCCCTGCTTCCCCCTCCCACCCCAGCGACTGCTTCACTGGTTCTGGGATGGAGCCCATGACTTTGCCTTTCTAACTCGCTCCCGGTGAGGCAGATGGAAGGAGCTGATCAGAGGGCTGCACGCCGGGGTGCACTGTGTGACAGCCCAAAGCAGACTCTCCAAGGTCGGCCTGTTTCAGAATAACCCCGAGATCCCTTGAAACCCCCATTCAGGGACCGCTCCTCCCTCTCTGGTCTGGTTCAGAAGATCTCCGTTGGGGCTCGAGAACCTTCACCTTTGACAAGGTCCCCACATATCTCTGACCAAGATTAGGAAGCAAACGATGAGAAATGCTGACCCAACTCGTCAGGCAATTAGATGTTACCGTGGTTCTGCATTCCCAGCACCCAGATTCCACTACAACGCAAAGCAGAATGCTAAGAAATTCTGCAAGTGGGTTCGTGAGCAAAGCTCCACTCTGGTTTGCCTCCTGAGGCCCAGAGCCGATCGTGTCTCTTCCTCTTAAACCACGCCAATCTCAGGAGTGGAGCAGTCACGGTTTTCCAGAGCCAGACCGAGGCCCCCTTTTCAGGCCTTACCTCTGGCCACTATCTGATGTGCCTCCTGTGCTTTAGCTGACCTCGACTGCTTTATGTCCCCCGAAAGAGAGCCTTCGGTGTGGCCTGCCTGTCTTTCTCTTGTCCAGCTGCTTGCTTCCTGATGGCGGGGGAGGGGGAGACCGAGCGTGGGTTCGCGTCAGCTACATCTGAGCTGACGTGGAAAGAAAGTGTAGGGTCGGGGGAGGTGAGAACCACAGGAGGAGGACTCCTGTCTGCTGGAACCGACAGTCCGAGGAGCTGCAGGAAGAAAGGACAGGCTGGCATAGCAGGTCACGTGGAGTGTTGATGAGGCTGAAAAGCGGGCCTGGGGCCAAGTGAGGAAGAGCCTCCAATGACAGTCTCGTGGCCACAGTGTAAGGGGAGTCCTAGGGCAGCAGCGTGCAAACTCGCTCTCTGCCCGGCACCCAGAGCACTGACAACCCAGTGGTGCGAAGTGGGATGGAAACCTCAGCACGCCCCCGTGGGAAAGAGGGAAATGTATTAACACCCAAAGTGCTAAAAATGTGGAAATTAAAATACATAACCTGGATCTTGATTCAATTTCTTGATCATCACAAATCCCTTGCACCTACTTCAAACTCTGGTGTTTACCCGTGAAGGTGCATTCACTAGCTCTTACTCCATACTAAGCTCTTACTTACTGGCTTATTACGTGTGCAGGAAACTTACAAGAAAAAAAAGACTTTGAACAGAGAGTTTTTAAGTCTCTAGTCTGCTGCTTCTGATGAGCAAATTCAGGCAGTATTTTCTCAGGAAATAATAATAAAGCAATAAACAGATTTATGCACAGCAGTTTATAAATATAAGAAAATCAGTACCTCTAAATTTCTGATACATATAAAATGTTAAGTATACTGTTACAGAAATACCACATCTAATTTTTTATCGGAAATAAACAACATAAAACGTAATTTGGTGACTGGAAATTAAAAGGTTACAACGCTCAAGTACTCTATCTAGGGTTCCCAAGAACAATCAATAAGAAAGAGAAAAAGAAACCAAATACTGTATTTTTTTCACACCCCTAAAACATTATCCCTTTGTATAAATTAAAATGGTAAACACATATACAATATAGACTCATGAATTAAATTAGAAATCCTTAAGTTTAAGCACTAAACAAAAATAAAAATAAATACAAGTAAAAAATAAGAGTAAACAATATTGCGAACAAAAATAACGGATGACCCGATCAGGTTAATCCTCGTGCACAGCCCTGGACAGACAGTAACAAGTACATTAAAATGAACACTGAGGTCGCTTGATGTGCGTAAGATGATGCCCCCAAATGACACTAAATCCTTGCCTTGAACTGTGGGGTTTAGGCTTTGCCATAAATACGTAATAAATATCTGTAGCACGTCCTACGGGTTGAGCACTTATCTCTCTCCATTGGAAAGTCTTTCCCCAGAGTCACACTGTGTCAGCGCCGTCCCGGGGGGTGGGGAGGGGGGATTCTGCAGCAGGTCCATCAACACAGCCATCTTCCTGTCCACGTGCTCCTGGAGTCGACGTATTTGCTGATCGATGGAGTCCACAAGCTTCTTTTCCAGCAGTTCCATATTTTTAGTAAGAATCTTTTCCAAGTAGGAGCACACAGGTTGCTCTTCCGTCCTAAAAATAAATTAAAAAGCCAGTGTAACAATTACCCCTGATATCCTAACAGAAACAAGCGAACCATACGAAATGAGCCCCCAAAGTACGATGCGGAAATCTGTCTCCGCAACGCTGCCGTCTGGGTACGAGGGGTTTCCGGGGCCAAAATCCACCCACAAGGGGCAATCACAGCCCTAAGCGCCCAAAGCATGCCGCATCTCCGATCCTTTCCACATTTCAGCACACAAGTGAAATGAGGGCACGACGACGAGAGGGAATGTCCCCCTCACAGAACAAGTCTCTACAAAGGGTCTTGGATTTTGAGCCCCAAATCAAAACTGACCGGCCTCAATGTTTCTTAAGGTCTCCACACAGGTCTTCCAAGAACTTCCCCAAGCAACCCCACAGTTTCAAGGTTTGTCTCTTGTCACCCGCACAACCTCACTAAGCACTGGAAGGTTCTCTTCTAACCTAATATGGAAACATATAAAAACGAATGTAACTGGAATGGGCAGATAGAAATAACAATACTTAGAAGGGGAGCCTGGGTGGCTCAGGCTGTTAAGTGTCTGACCTCAGCTGGAGTCATGAGCTCAGGGTCCCTGCTCCAGAGGGGTGGTGCGTGGGGGAAGGGGGTCTGGCTCTCTCTGCCCCTCCCCCATGCATGCGGTCTCAAATGAATAAATAAATTCTTCAACAACAACAACAACAACAACAACAACAGTAAAAGCAGTCCAGTTTCTCAGGTTCACAACCAACGCACACCAGGGCAGTCAATCTCAGGCCGTGGCCCACAACACCCTGAGGACACGTGACTTGTTCAGCTTCCACCAAGTAGCAAGCGTTCTTACACAACAACCAAGATGATGTCTGAACCCTTCACACCCAGATCCTCAGGAACATACGGTGACATTTCCCAGAGGCGACACGAGGTGTGATGTCACCACTCGGGTGAGCAACAGAAGCTGTGGTCGAGTGTTCTCCTGTGTCTTAAGACTGTGCGAGGGCAGTCAATTTAGGGTCTAAATATTGTCTTCAGCATGAACCCCGTTTGTCCTCAGCACTTCTGTGCTCTCATCGGCTACTGATGCCACATGCTGGAGGGCAACACAGATGAGAACGCGAGCAGACGCTAACATCGATTCTACACGTTACCTAACACCATTCTGAGTTGTTCTTTAGAAAATACCCTTTTCATAAAAATTGTTACTAATATAATGGGTCTGTTATTTTTAAACAAATGAATCCTTTCATATACTCTGCATAAATAAAGCTTCTCCACAGTCCTCAATTACTCTTGAGAGTGCCGAGACCAAAAAGTTTGAAAACCCCACTCTAGAATATATGAGCGGTTTTAAAAACCATTATTTTTTTTTCAAGGAACTCCAGCTTCACAGGAAGTTGTAAAGATACGAGAGTTCCCCAGTACCCTTCCCCCAGTGGTCCCAATGGTTACATCTCACCCAACTCTGGAGAATACAAAAGCAGAAAACGGATGTTGGGACAGTGTGCGCGGGTGCCGTCCTCCCACACGTACACACGTTCACGTGAACATCATAACTGAGATCACAACTATTCCTTCACTACAAACATCTCCCCATTGTCACAGCCACTCCCAACACCCTCCAGGCCTAAAGCCTGCAACCACCAATACGGTCTCCATCTCTACAACTCCATTTTGGGAACGTTACACAAATGCAATATTGGTGTGTGACCTCCTGAGATTCTCCTGGTCTCAGCACAGAATGTCCTCAGGAGCCATCCAAGTTGCTGCGTGTGTCAATGGTCCGTTCCTTTTTACGGATTAGCATCCTGGGATATGGATATACCACAGTTTGTTTAACTGTTCATCTAGTTTAAGACATACTGGTTGCTTCCAGTTTTGGACCGTTACATAGAAAAAAAGCTGCATGAAGAACTGGGCATAGTTTCTTGTGTCAACGTAAGTTTTCATTTCTCCGGGATAAATGCCAAATACATTGCTGGCTCACATGGTAAATGTTTAGTTTTCAAGAAACTGCCTAAGTATTTTTTACGGTGGCTGTAGTATTCTATACCCCCACCAGCAACGTAGGAGAGATCTAGTTTCTCCATATCTGCATCAGCATTTGGTATTGTTAACCATTTTTTGTTTTTAATCTTCAAATAACTGTGCAACAGTATCTTGTTTCGATATTCATTTCCCTAGTAGCCACAGAGTCGATGATGATCATCTTTTCACTTGCTTATTTGATATGTGCACCCTTTCTAATGTCTCCATGTCTACTGCCCATGTTCTGATTGAATTTTTTTCTAACGTGAATTTTGGGAGCTACAGGAATGGAGGCCATTTGTTAAATTTGTGACTTGCAAATTCTGCTCCCACTTTGTATCTGTATTTTCATCCTCTTAACAGGGTCTTTCACAAGGCAGAAGCTTTAAATTTTGATGCGATCCAATAGGTCAATGTTTCCATTATTGTGATTCTGGTATCATCTAAGGGTCTTTTCCTAGTCTTAGGTCTCCAAATGTTCTCCTACATATTATCAGAAAAGTTTTATAGCTTCATGCTTGTTTATTTTTTTTAAGGATTTTATTTTTAAGTAATCTCTACATCCAACATGAGTATCAAACTCACAACCCCAAGATCAAGAGTTGCACGCTCTGCAAAAAATAAAAAAATTAAGTTTAAAAAATAAAAATAATTTAAATAAAGAGTTGCACACTCTGCTGATTGAGCTAGCTAGGCGCCCCTATAACTTTACGCGTTACGTTTAAGTCCTTGATCTATGCTGAGCTATAGATCCTAAAAATACTGGAAATAGCTACAGGCAGTGGAGAGACAAATCTATTTTCCTCCAACTAATTCTTCCATCTATGAAACCTAAACCAGATTTGTCTGAAATACTTACGCAACGCCAACGACGCCTTCCCCGGCCTTAGTGATGCCTTCCTGCCACCTGGCGCTATGTCCCACGCGGAGATGGTTAACCTGACTACATAAATTCTGGAGAAAAGGCAGCAACTCAGAGTTAGGTATATTTGAGGCGTCACTTGCTTTCTTCGGCAGGAGAGAAGAAACTGCATTTCTGAGGTCATTCTCAAGAAGAGAATGGTTTGGCGGCACCACGTGATAGTCTCTGAGGTGTGTAGTGTTTCCTCCACCCGGTGGCTGTGGACTTTTATCGACGCAAGCGTTTAAGTCTTCCGTCAGGGTTCCAGACGTCAGGCCGGTTCTGAAAGGGAAAGGCGTGGAGGGGGACTTGTCGGAGGCTCCCGAAGCAGCTGAGGACTGCAGGTCCGCCACTCGTCTGTAGCCAGTATTTCCCAAAACCGCCTGAAGCTGCTCTCCCACGGGAACACAGTTCTAAGCAAGGGAAAGAAATACACGTTACTATCGGTAGTGGTGACGGCTAACTTTTGGGGTAACTACTGTGAGTCAGGCAAGGTGCCTTCTTTCTCTGATCCTCTGAACAGCCACACGAAGTAGGCTACAAGTACTACCAGATCTTAAGCTGAAGAGACCACAGCTGAGGTGAAACCTAGGCTAAAGGTAACCCGGCTATGGGGACGCAGCTTGTAAGTGGCAGAACTGGGACAGGAACACAGACCACCGAACTCCAGAGTCAAGACTTTTTTTCTTTCTTTTTTTTTTTTTTTCTTTTATTTATTTATCCGACAGACAGAGATCACAAGCAGGCAGAGAGGCAGGCAGAGAGAGAGGAGGAAGCAGGCTCCCCGCTGAGCAGAGAGTCCGATGCGGGGCTCGATCCCAGGACCCTGGGATCATGACCCGAGCCAAAGGCAGAGGCTTTAACCCACTGAGCCACCCAGGTGCCCCCAGAGTCAAGACTTTTAATGATTTCACTGCAATTTTCCCTAAAGGAAATATTAAATATTAGCATGCTTAGTAAAACTGCATTAGCATTAACGCCTCCACTACAAACGCCTCCTTGATTTATGGCGATAAAATACAGTACTCTCAACTGAGGCACAATAATTGATAATATATTTAGAATTAAATATCATCCATCAAGTTTCCCATATAACAAGCTAACCTAAGGAAATTTTTTATAACTAGCTTATCACGGAAGATACACCAGATAGCTTACATACTAGAAGTTTGATGTTTTATCAGTACATTTGCAACATCTACAATGACTAAAATGAGCCTACTTTTGGCTCCGTCTGCTTTAATGATCTGTAGGATAACAGTTATGTTTTATGGCCTCAACTGAACTGGCTATGCCGTATTAGTTCATGACAACAGTCCGGCTTACTTCTGTAATGAAGTCACATGGTTTCCCATGCAGGGGCAGGTTCTTGCTATGCTCTTGCTATACTCTTCAATTTCTCCACAACAGCAAAGCAAGCAATTACTTCTGGCCCACTAAATGGTTAAATTACAGGGCTATATCCCAAATTATAAACACAAAACTCTATTCTTATTCGGGAAATACCATCACATCCTTACTGCTGCTAACACCTACTGAAAGAGACTAAGACCAGTATTATACAGGTCAGCTGAAGAGACTCCGTATATACATTGTCTAGACACTCGAAAAAATGATTTCTGGACCAAATGACCAAAATGACCAAAACTCATTCAGTCAACAAACATTTATCAGAAATCTATTCTGTGTTTCCAGCACAGGAAATATGCGCATGAACAAAACAAATGAAAATTACTGATATGTGGAACCAATACAGGAGCAGGGAACAATGGAAAGAAGAATGGAAGGAAGGAAGGTAGGCAGGCAATGCAGCACGTGGATGGAGATGGTGGTAAATACTTTGGGGGAAAATAAAGGAGGCGAGGAGAATAATGAGAGCCAGGGAAGTTGGTGGGGTAGGGATGGGAGGGTCTCCATGAAACTTCTTTTGCTAAACTGTACTTTGGAGGAATACTCTTTGTAAAGAAATGTTATCTTCTACTGAATGCAAGTTTTGGATAACTCTTAAATTAGTTCTAGAAGAGGAACTGCATATAATTATGTAATATATATAATTATATTATAATTTTGTATATAATTATACATATATATTTTGTATATATAATTATATATAAAATTTTAAAATTCAACAACTCTCCTTGAGCAGAAAGGAGCCTTAAGCATGATGACAAAGCTAAATTATTTTTGGTAGTAGTAAACAGTCCAAAAAAACCTTAATGACAGAAAATTGAAAATACTTTTTTTAACTGTATTTTATTTTTAGAGAGAGAGATACCATGAGTTGGGGGGTGGCAGAGGCAGAGAGAAAGAGAGAGAGAATCCCAAGCAGGCTCCATGCCAGGTACAGAACCCAACTCAGGGCTGGATCTCATAACCTGAGCCAAAATCAAGAGTCGGATGCTTAACAGACTGAGCCACTGAAGCACCCCAGAAACTGAAAATTCTGTATAAACAGCAGTGAAATCAATGTCAAAATTATATATGATAATTAATTTGGCAGAAATTTTAATTAAAATCTAAATGCAAATAAGGTATTTGCTCTGTGAGGTTTTCTTTTCTAATATATCAAATTTTGACTAGAAGAAATTCACTGATTATAAAAAGTGGTCATATTTTTCTCAGATGACAGCTCTTAAGGTAATTTCCTTTTCCTCTTGGTATTACATATCCTGGAATTTACAGGTGAGTCTATAGGGCAGTAAATAAACCAACTTTGGGTGCTGGTGGCTATTCTTCTGTTTCCTTTGTTTCATTTGCTTCAATTCTTAATTTTCTTGTGCTGCCTGTCACATGTTGCCTTGCATGGCCCACCAAACCCTTTTAAAAGTAGGCAGGGGAATGGGGAGGAAATAATTTACACGTATTTATTGCTTAGGCTCCATGTTACATGTTATATAGAAAACACAGAGTAGCTTGAAAGAACATAAAATCATTCACGTGGAATTATGTCCATATACCTATACGTGAATACGTAAAGGACTATTATCTGTGTACACACACAATTTAATGTATGTGTACGTTTACCCCCAGACTTGTGAAAAATTAAGTGTTTATTTCTATCTTATCAGATATCTGACAGGACTAATTTTTACTATAAAAGATTTAAACAAGTATCGGGGCGCCTGCATGGTTCAGTGGGTTAAAGCCGCTGCCTTCGGCTCGGGTCATGATCCCAGGATCCTAGGATCGAGCCCCGAATCGGGCTCTCTGCTCAGCAGGGAGCCTGCTTCCTCCTCTCTCTCTGCCTGCCTCTCTGCCTACCTGTGATCTCTGTCTGTCAAATAATTAAAATCTCTAAAAAAAAAAAAATTTAAACAAGTATCATCTTGAGAAAGAAAAAAAAAAGATATTTGTATTTCAAAGGTGAAAAAAGTAAACCATATAAACCCTACATAAGTGAGTATGTTTTCTTCGAGAAAAATGGGGTGCACCCTTTCATTCAGGTAACATTAAATGAAAACTATAGGCTAGGCACTTTGATATATAATTCCTATTCAATTTCCGTAAATTTTAAAGCAAAAACAAATCAGAGCCAGCAAATTTTAACTTCAAACTTAATGAAGTAAGAAAAAACTTTAACAAAACTTTCAAGCACACAAGCAACCCCAAAGCACGGGTGAAGCAGGGAAGGTAGAGGGCTTCTCACAAAGCTTCCCAGGTAGCTTCTCGACCCTTCACGACAGGTGCGGCCCAAACTAACGTAGGGGGGTTCTAGTGTATGCAGTTACACAGCTTCCACCGAAGGAACAGTTCTGGTCATGAGACAGCCCTACTTTATTTATTTACTTTTAAGATTTTATTTTTAAGTAATCTCTACATCCAACTTGGGGCTCGAACTTACAAGCCCAAGATCGAGAGTCACACACTCTACCATCTGAGCCAGCCAGGCGCCCCAAAACATCCTGACTTTATACTTAACAAATGGTTACACAGCTTACATGACATTTTCCAGGGAGGCAGTCCATAGATTCCTGCTTGTTAATAATATGCAATCCTAGAACCAGGTAAGCCCTGTAAGAATCATCCCATAAACAGAGCCTTCCCACCTGGAAGAGGTCTTATGTTGGGATGTTTAAAAGAAGATTTAACTGAATCACCTTCCTTCTTCCCAGGTGTTCCCCCAAATGTCCCCGTATACAAGGATTTAGTGGGGAGAGGGGACAGGTCACAATAAGTGCACTGGAGGGAAGGACCTGCATGTGTTTCTACATACTCAGAAAACTCTAGGATACGCACCAAGCTGGGGAACACAATGAGAGCTGGGAGAGCACTTTTATGATTTACTTAATGTACTTCTAAATGGATTAAAATCTCTGGCAAAGAGTACATGTTGTTTTTGGAATTACACCAAAAAACTTAAAGACATGGCAAAAAAAAACAAAAACAAAAAACAAAAAACAAAAAACCTATCCATGTCATCTCTTTTTCCAAAGTGAAGTTTTTAGAACATAAAAATCGGCCCATGAGCTGATTTATTAACCCTCTCTGATGTTTCCAAAGAGTTGCACACAAAAAAATAATTTCTTCTGTTTTACATTTTCTATCTCCATGGGATCCTTTTCCTCAATCATTTGTTCTCAAAGTATACTATGCATACGACTTATCTGGGGACGTCTGTTTGATAAACGGATTCCTGGATCCCACCTTCTGGGTTTCAGGTCATTGGCGCCAGCCAGGAATCTGCACTTTATAAACATTCCAAGGGATTCTGATACAGGCGAGCTCCTTATCGCTACCATTCCCAAAACAAACCCATTTACCCTGGGTACCTCCACATTTCAACTACCCCCATTTACTCCCTACTCCCTCCGAACCTGGTTTCTGTCTCATAATCATTCAATCTGACCCTCTGAAGACCTCCAAGAAGCACTTAAACGTGACCATCCAGAAGGCACTACATCATATACTTATTTGGAGCCACAAACAAGACAGACCAGCTCCCTGTCGGCAGGAAGCTTACATTTTAAAGAGATAAACAGACCGATATGTAAACAACGGCAAAGGAGTCAAGAAGGCTCTGACAAAAATATGATGCAGACTTGGCAGGAAAGGCTATTTTAAACTGGTGGTTGGGGAAGGTCTCTAAGGATGTAACATTTAAGCTGATATCTTAATAAAAAAGAGAAGTCCAGGCTCGCCAAGGTCTGGGGGTTCTCAAGAAAAGGCTTCTCAAGAAAGAGAACAGTTAAGAGTGCAAAGGTCCCGAACACACGTGAGTATCTGAGTACTAACACGCCAGCGTGCCTGAGTCCGCGGAGCCAAGAGATCTGGCCAGAGATGAGGTTAAGGAATCAAAGAAGGCCCAGATCTTAGATGCCAGGGTAAGGAATCTTTGGGTTAATTCTAAGTGTGATGGGAAGCAGTCAGACGGCTTTACACAGGGAAGGATGGGTCTGATTTACCCTCCGAGATTATTCTGGTCACCCTGTCGGGAATGGATGCGGTGGAGGAAGAGGACCAGTGAGGGACTTCTGGAGGGTCAAGCTGCGGTGATGGTAGGAGAGAAAGAAAAGCATGGAACCGGTACTTTTTTGAAATCCTCCTTTCCAGGGTTCCCATGATTACCATAACTCTCCCAATTTCCCTGTCTTGGCCCATTGCATCGGTGACACCTGTACAAAATTACCACTGGTAAACTTCACAAAAGGTACATAAGTTGCTTATTTAGACTATTTCTTTTAAATTTTCCCATCAATCCTTTGATCTTAGCAGTGTTATCATTTAGATTTTGAACACAGAGAAATTCATGTAAAAAACGCGAAGCACCGCCAAATTACACAACTAGTCATGTCAGCGCCACAGCCCGAAATCACGTCTCCTGACATGAGATTTTGCCTCGAGCTACTCGGTCACACCTGGTCTTCTGCTGTTCTATTCCTTTTCTTGCTCCCGATATCCTTACCAAACCTAGCTACTCCCCCACGGACCTTTCTTGCTTGCTCTGGCTCTCCCTCCACCACTTTCCCTGCTGTCTATTGGGGTCCATCTCTCAAACCTCCCTTCACTCCCCCATGCCCACGCCCACCTATGCTTCCAAATGCTCGCACTCTACAATTCACGTCTACAACTTAATATTCCCAAATCAAACTCCCTTTTTCCCAAGCAGTCTCCTCCATTGGGTTCCATTTATATTGTTGGTATCACCATCTTCAAAACCGCAATATCCCTCTTTAACTCTATTTTTCTCCAGCAAACCAATATCAAGTAGGTTGTCCAGAGCCAATGGCACCATCGTTGTATTATCTCACAATCCAGGATGTCTAATTTAGACCCTCCTTGACTCTCCTCTGGATGAGGGAAGGCACATGGAACTGCTCCCCCTGGAGTCACACATCCTACTGTTTCATTGTTTCTTCTCATTCCTGTTACACGCATAGCATGGCGCGGGGTTAGTTTCTCAAAATGTAAGCAAAACTATGTATGAACTTCAAAAGTAACATTCAAAGCCCTCTATGATCCAGCCCCAAACTAAACTCCCCCAACCACTTCTTCACCCAGAGATGTGAACTTCTATTCATTTCCTAGCTATACCCTGTTCCTTCTGGCCCTAAAGAGTTAAGCCATGTTATCTTCTCTCTCCCAAATTGCATCCCTCCAAATTTACTTGTCTAGTCCCACCCTTCTTCCTTAAAGGCCTAGATAAAATGAGACTATAAATATCCTTAAAGATCCTTAAACTAATTGATCATTGAACTTTCTAAAGTGTTCAAAACATTGCCTTATTCACTAAGAAGGTGCTTAATACTTACTGAATGAGTGAGTAAATTCACAGAAAATTGTGAAGATCTGTAGTAAGATATTTTGTAGAAGATCAAAAATCAACAGTAAAAGTTCAAAGAAAAAACTTTTAAGTCAATACATGTCCTTAGAAAAAGCTGTCATTTTGAAATCGTTAATGGTATCTGGACGGAATCCATGTCCACCTACCTGCTGCTGAAATTTAACCATATTCATCAACTGCTGAGCACCAGGTGACAACTTGGACCCCATGGCCTCCATGAGAGTTTGGACCCTCTGCAGGTCTATCCTTGATCCTAGAGCAGGAGAGCTTGTTGAAGAATTTGCTGAAACCCGCCTCAACTGTACCACAATTTTACCGATGAACACACGCTGCTCTTCACCAAAGGAGAGCAACTATTATAAAACAAAGAAGTTCCAGAAAAAAAATAATATTAAACAATAATCACTATTTAAGGTCACTTTTCTATATAAACTAGCAATAATAATGTATTTAGGAAAATAAATATAAACTTTAAATACACTTTCATTTTTAAGTTTTCCTGAAAATTTTAACGATCAGCACTTCTAATTTACCAGGAGGCTCATAAGAACTGTTTATATAAAAGAATATAACTTCAAACTGAAAAAATACAAAGAATTACAAAGGGGACTAGAGTAAAATTTCATTCACTTACATTAATGAATAAAAATAAACGATACCAATCCAAGAAGCTGGCACAGCTAGCTAGAATCCTATTTAATAGAAAAGAAGGCTTTACAAAAGCACTTCCAAGGTATTTACTGAAATACGAAAGATAAATCAGTCTTGTAGAATTTAGAATTAAAAGAGATAGTTAATACGGTCTAACATAACCTTCTGGTTCACACGCAAAAAAGAGAGGTCAGGGGTGATTTTCTGACTGTCAAAAGATTATGTAAACTGGTAAAAGTCAAGCTTGGAATCTAGACCTCTGGCTTCTACAGGAGTGTCCTACCCAGTGCTTTATGCTGCCTTATTTCATCCATGTTTCTGAACCAAAAGACATTCCTCGTGTGATACGGACAACAAAGTAGCAAAGTGGAAAGGGACCAGGATTTAGTATCAGACAAATCAATGATGACTCAACTGAGAGCCTGTGTTTATCTCGGGAAAAGGCAAAAACCGGAGTCAGGAATAAAATGAGGGAGGGTAAAAACAATGATTTTACATGGTTGTTATGAGGACTAGGTGTTAAAATTCCCAGTACCTACCACTGAGTAAATGCTCAAAAAGATGGGTCATTTATATTAACTTTCATATACTATTGCCCCAGAAGAAGCTTCTCTAATGAGACTACCCTTAGCACTCCCATAGAACTTCTATTGAACAGTTAACAAAAAACACTTACCTTCAGAGACACACATAAAACCATATGTAACATGACAACACAGGTCAATACCCATAACCTAAGAACTCTGTGTGTGGTACCAAAAAGATGACTGTCCTCAACAATTAAGGAACTTCCACATTAAATTTATACACCTACCCTAATAGCCCTTTCTGCTTTTTATTTTCTTTTAAAGATTTTATTTATTTATTTGACAGAGATCACAAGTAGGCAGAGAGGCAGGCAAAGAGAGAGGGGGAAGCCGGCACCCCGCTGAGCAGAGAGCCCGATGCGGGGCTTGATCCCAGGACCCTGGGATCATGACCCGAGCCGAAGGCAGAGGCTTTAACCCACTGAGTCACCCAGGCATCCCCCTTTCTGCTTTTTCATCCCCACTGCCCCACCACAGAATTAGGGATATATCTTACTCACTGAGTCAACTTATAATCTATTTCATCACACCAGAATGTGAGCAATAGGAGGTGGGTCATTCATTATATTACTGCTAATTCCAACATGTCTAGTTACAGTACCTAGCATCAGTAGGCATTCAAATATTTGTGGAATGCATGAAACACTTTATTTAAATAAATTTGGGAGCTATTAATATATACTATATAAAATAGTATCTTAGAATAATCAGTTCTGTAAATTTGCTACCAACATGCTATGAGATTACTTATTTTTTCTTATTCTAAAGTCTCATAACCTTATACAAACTAATGTGGAAATAAAAGATAGCAAGGATTTATTTCCTTTTAAAAAAATTTAAATTTAAAAACACCTTTATTGAGATACAATTAACATGCCAAACAATCAACTGGCTTAAAGTATACAATTCAGGAGATTTTAGTATATTTACAGAGTTGTGTAGCCATTACAGTTTTATTTTATCCTATTTCTTTTTCTTTTCATATATTTTTTTTAAGTTCTAGTTAGTTAACATACAGTGCAATACAGGTTTCAGGAGCAGAACTCAATGTTTCATCACTTAGACACAACACCCAGTGTGCATCATAACAAGTGCCCTCCTTAATACCCATCACACATTTAGCCCATCTCCCACCCACTTCCTTCCAACAACCCTGTTTGTTCTCAATCTTTAAAAGCCTCTTATGGGGGTGCCTGGGTGGCTCAGTGGGTTAAGCCTCTGCCTTTGGCTCAGGTCATAATCCCAGGGTCCTGGGATCAAGCCCCGCACCGGGCTCTCTGCTCAGCGGGGAGCCTGCTTCCTCCTCTCTCTCTGCCTGCCTCTCTGCCTACTTGTGATCTCTGTCAAATAAATAAATAAAATCTTAAAAAAAAAAAAAAAGCCTCCTATGGTTTGTGTCTCTTTTTTCTCCCCCATATATTCATGTTTTCCTTCTTAAATTCCACATGAGTGAATCATATATGTCTTTCTCTAACTTATTTCGCTTAGAATATACTCTAGCTCCCTCCATGTTGAAATGCAAATGTCAAGATTTCATTCTTTTTGATGGCTGAGTAATATTCCATTGTATACATATACATCTTTTAACCATTCATCAGCCGATGGACATTTGGTCTCTCTCCACAGTTTGGCTACTATAAACATCATTGTTGATAACGCTGCTAAAAACACTGGGGTGCATGTACTCTCTGAATCTTTATTTTTGTACCTTTTGGGTTATTACCTGGTAGTGCAATTGCTGGGTGGTAGGGTAGTTCTATTTTTAACTTACTGAGGAACCCCCATACTGTTTTCCAGAGTGGCTGCACCATTTGCATTCCCACCAACATTTCAAGAGGCTTCCCCTTTCTCCACATCCTCACCAACACCTGTTATTTCTTGTGTTGTTAATTTTAGCCATTCTGACAGGTGTCAGGTGATATCTCCTCACGGTTTTGATTTACATTTCCCTGATGATGAGTGATGTTGGGCATCTTTCACATGTCTCTTAGCCATTTTTATGCTTTTTTTGAAAAATGTCTATTTTAAAAAAAATATTTATTTATTTGACACAGAGAGAGAAAGATCACAAGTAGGCAGAGAGGCAGGCAGAGAGAGAGGAGGAAGCAGGCTCCCTGCTGAGCAGAGAGCCCGATGTGGGGCTCAATCCCAGGACCCTGAGATCATGACCCAAGGTGAAGGTAGAGGCTTAACCCACAAAGCCACCCAGGGGCCCCGAGACTGTCTTTTTTCCACTAGATATTCCTTCCCACTTTGTTGAAGATAAATTAACCATATAGTCGTGGGTCCATTCCTAGGTATTCTGTTCCATTGACCTACATGTCTGTTTTTGTGCCACTACCATAGTGTCTTGACTACAGCTTTGTAGTAAAGCTTGAAGTCCAGAATTCTAATGCCTCCAGCTTTGCTGTTCTTTTTCAGGAGTGTTTTTGCTACATGGGGCCTTTTGTGGTTCCATACAAATTTTAGGATTGTTTGTTCCAGCTCTGTGAAAAATGCTCAGTGTTTTGATAGGAACTGCATTAAATGTATAACTGCTTTGGGTAATATAGATATTTTAACAATGTTTGTTCTTCTAGTCCATGAGCATGGAATGTTTTTCCACTTCTTTCCATCCTCTTCAATTTTATTCCTAAGTTTTCTATAGTTTTCAGAATATAGATTTTTTTACCTCTTTGATTAGGTTTATTCTTTGGTAACTTAATGGTTCTGGATGCTAGTCATTGCAATTTTAGAACATCACCCAAAAAGTGGCCATGTATCACTGGCAGTCACTCCCCATCCCACCAATACCCACCCCGTAGCCCTAGATAGTAACTAATCTGCTTTCGGTCTCTATGGATTTGCCCATTTTGGACCTTATATATACATACACACAGACTCATACGATATTATGATTCCAACTTCTTTCACACAGTATGTTTCAAGGTTCATCTGGGTTTCTGTATGTATTTCTATATGACTGAATACTTTTCCATTATGTGGATACAGCATATTTTGTTTACACATTTAGTGATGGATAGTTGGGTTGTTTTCTTTGTAACCTTTTGGCTATTAGGAATGATGATGAACGTTCATGTACATATGAAGAATTTTTTTTTTTTGGTCCGCTAATTTATCCATAAGGTAGTTCGAAAGAAATAGAGATTTGCACCAGCTCACTTGACTAGGCAACAAAACAGGAAGAATATCCTGGCCTATGCCTTCTTGCTCAGTAACTTTTCTCTAGGCTCTACTGAGAATACTAAAGTTCACCTCTATGATATTTTTCATATTCAAGACATAAGTCCAAATCCCTTTAACTTCTGGATACTCTTCTCTAAAACGTCCCCAATTCCCTTCTTTCTTGATATCGCTCCCTATATGCTTCCCTATAAGCCAAAACTGCTTATAGTTTTCACGATACATATTTTTACATAAAGATAATCAGAAACAAAGTTGGACTAACCATATTACTGAACCAACAGAAAACAAGTACAAATTATACAAAAACATTTGCAGTTGTCAAATTAGTTAAAATCTAGTGATGACTTACCTTTATTTTACAAGCACGACTGGAAGACTCCAATTGTAAGTACTTTTTGTAGAAAATAATTTTCTGCTCACTAAAAAGAAAATAAAATTTAAATTACTTTTAATTCTACTATTTTAAATAGTTACATTTAAAAATGAATTATTCCAAATGAATACATAAAGGAACAGCAGAATCAAAAAATTCAGAAAACAAACTGATGGTTGCCAGAGGGATGGGCAAAATGGATGAAGGCAGGTGAGAGATACAGGCTTCGGGTTATGGAATGAATAAATGGTTGGAATAAAAGGTACAGTACGGGAAACTTAGTCAATGACATTGTAATAGCCTTGTATGGTAACAGATGATACTGAAATGGCATTATCTCGCTGGTACTGTAATAATACTGTACGGTAACAGATGGAGGTTATACTCCTGGTGAGCACCTCACGACCTATAAAGGTGTTGAATCACTATGTTTTACAGCTGACACCAGTGTAACGGTGTATGTCAACTGTACTCAAATAAGGAAAAATTGTCTCTAAGCCATTCCTTAAATCCTGAGATCGAATCGGGTAGAATCTTTGTATCAGAACCTAGAGAAAAATCACACTGTAGCAGGCTGAACTGTGTGGCGGTCACAGACTGGTGTGGCACAGTCTTGGGCCTGGGCACCACTTGCCACGGGCTTCCTTTCAGAAAAATGTGCTCACTTCCAGACTGACAGACCACCGCGTGTCCAGGGAGAACGCCAAGCAGCAGGAATAAGGAAGGACTGACTGCCTGTCGTCCGCTCCACGCCGTCCCCGGCCGCAAGCAGCAGGAAACCTCCACACCGGCCACCGCGAAGGGCGGACTCGGACGCTGTCCAAGAGCCGTCCCAGGGGAAGCTCCCACCGCTCGGGTCGGCCGCGGCCTCTCTCGGCCGGCGCCAGGCCGCCCACACGCCGCCCAGAAGCTCGGAGAGCCCCGGCCCGCTCACAGACCTGCCAGCCGGGTCGCCGCACACGGCCTCGCCCCGGCTGGTGCCGCAGTACTCCTCTCCCAGGTACACCTCCATGTTCCTGGCCGAACTCAGAAGGCCGACAGACACGATCTCCTCAGCCCCGCCGGGCTCGCAGCTCAGGTGAAGGAAGCAGGGCTTCTCCCCCGGGCTGCTCGGGCCGCTCTTCAAAACCACCAGGTCGTGGCTGAAAGGAAAACCGTCCCGCGCGCTCCTCAGTCGGCCCGTCCGAACCCCGCTCGCGACCCTCTGGCCGGGCCGCGGGCCCTCCTGACCCACTTCGTCTACACGGAGGGCCCCGCGCCTTCCCGAGCACCGACCGACGCTCCGCACAGATTCCCGAGGAAACGGGCCCTCGGGACAGCGGGGCTTCGCCGCCCACGGCGTCCTCGATCGCCGCCGCCACCCCCCGCACTCCCTTCTCCCGACGGAGAACGTCCCCGGGCACCTGCGGCGCGCACCAGAGCGGGGGGCGGGAGACCCCGAGAGGCACCGCCTACCTTCTCCCTCAGGAAGCTGACGGGGACTGTCGACAGCCACACGCGCTAGCGCCGACGCGGGTGGACGCGAGGCCTCGGCCGCTGCGTTTGCGCGGGGAGGGGGCGGCGGGGGCCGGTTCCGACCCCGCCGAGGTGCGGGTCCCGGGCCGCCAGCCCCGCGCCCGGCACTCACGCCCCCGCTCCCCGCCCACACCGGCCGCCAGCTCCGCTCCCGGATCCCGGGCCCACACCCGCTCCCCGCACGGCCCGCGCCTGCCCTCCCGGCCCCCCGAGGAGCGCGACCGTCCCGCAGCGGCGGCCCCAGTCCCCGCCGGCCCGGCGCACCCCGCGGCAGGCGGCGTCAGCGGTTCCTCCCAGTCCAAGTCCCGGGCGCCGAGGTCAGCCCGGGTGAGACGGAGGCTGTGGGCCAGGACTCCGCGGGCCGCATCCCAGGAAGAGGCCAGCATCGGGCGGCGGGTCAATCCCGCGTCCTCGGCCCGGGTCTCCATTCTGCCGCCGCCAGCCCAGGCCCAGTCCGGAACCTCTCTTCCAGGGCTTGCGTTTCCGCCAGGACAGAGGGGAGGCAGAGAAAGAGAGCGACTTCCGGCTCGGCTGGCTTCAAACCTAAGACCGGCCGCTCCTCGCCCAGTGGGGAAGAAAACCAGGTGCCGGAGACACGCATGCGCGCGCCGGGCGGCTTCGGCAACGCGCTTCCAAACCTGCGCGGTGGAAGACCTCTAAGGCGGAGCATGCGCCCCGACGGCTCCCGGGCCTAGGGCTGGAAGTGTGCGCAGGCGCGGCGCGGGCGCGCGGGAATGGGGCGGGTTTTGCACGTGGGCCCGCGACATAGCAGGCTGGGGCTGTGGACGACGGTTGGGGATCCGCCCTGAAGGGTCAGTCCAATGAGGAGAGTCCGTGGTTAGGTAGGAGTGTGCGGTCGCCACACGCGCCGCGTTGAGCGTGATGCGGACCGTCGGTTTGTCTGCGGTGGACGCCGCGGCCTTCACGCCCACAGCAGCGGAGCGGGCGGTGGGTGGGTGGCTGCGGGCAGCAGATGGAGGTTTGTACAGCGTCCCGGACTCGTAGGGGTAGTCGCGGCGCTGGCCGGACGTGGCCGAGTCAGTGAGCCGCTGGCGTGAGAGCCAAACGCCAACGGGGCGGACCTTGCGTCCAGGGGCCTCAGCGCTGGAGGGGAGGAGACAGGGGGACCGGGTCTCGGGGCTCTGGTGGAGGAGCCTCTGAGCTGGGGCTTGAAGGACCTTTAACGTTGGGGTCCGAAAAGTGGAGCAGATGGAACTTACTAGTTGCCCCTCGGGGTAGGAAGGTAACTGGTGCCTGCCCACCACCTCCACCCAGTCCTCTTCCTGGAAGGGCTTGTGCAGATGAGTTTTTCATCTTTTGAAATAAAAAAGGGAATTATATCACAGATAAGTTCCAGAGTCCCTAAATGTAAAGGTCCTAGGACGTTTACGAAGATTTTCAGTACTCCAGATTCATTTTAGGTCATCTCCGTCAGTGTTTCCATTCTATATATCCTGCTTCCTGTGATCATAAATTTCCATTCGTGTTAACAATTTGGGGAGTCCTGAGGAAAATATGCTTTTCTTCAAAAACACCTATCTTCAATTAAAGGAAAGAGATCAATGTTATCAGCTGGATTTTGACTTCCTTAAATAGGCTGAATGACCAGGAGTCAAAAAACCAAAGACTCTGTGGTTGACCCTTCTCTCACTCCCATGCATTCAATAAATCAACAGGTCTTGGTTTTCTTTCTTTCTCATTCTTCTTCATCTATGGGTCTTTTGTTTTCAAGCACTAGCTTTCATCTGAACAATTCCTGGAGTTTCTTTACTGTCATAAGCCTTCATTTTCATAACCCCCATTCCATCCTCTGCACTGCCCTCTTTTTCTTCTAGCGTTTGATGTCATCGTCACCTTTACTGCTTAGCATGACTTACAAAGCCCTTTGTACTGTGACTCTTGCCTGCGTCTTCCCACATACTGCCTCCCCGCCACACACACACATACTTTCCCCTCCAGGTGGAATGCCCCTTTTGCGGGTATGTAGGGAATATCGTGTTTATCATTCATAACCAGCTGATATTCCTTTTCCTATAGAATTAAGCTAATTCCTCTGTACTATACTTGTCCTTTTTAAGTATGTCAAGAAAAACCAGAGCTGGATGGTAAAAGCATTTTATTCAGAACTATGACAATGAGAGAAAGAGGTCCATATAGAAAGAGGCTCCATTCTGAACATAGTGTGGGCAAGTAGGAATTTATGCCCAAGGAACAAGTGGGGAGTCTGGTGGAAAATTACTAAGAGAAATCATCAAGGGTTAGGGGAGTTCTGGCTAAGCCAGCCTGACAGAATTTTTGATGAGATGCCAGGATGATCAGACAGCACCTGGGGGATGATGGAGGATGAGGAATCTGGAGTGTACTCCCCATCAAGGTGGTTATAGGAACTTAAATCCTTAAAAGGATTAACTTGTTCAAAACTTGCACATTTCCAAAAAAAAGACTTGCAGTTGCCCAGCTCCTGAAAATATCCTCTCAGCTGTTGGAATATCCTGCTTGATAAAACTTGTCTTTTAACTAGGGGCTTGGGGTCCCACCATTTCTAGGTCATGCTAAACAATACGATTTATGATGAAGGGTCACATTCTATTACATTGACTTCTGAAAGGTTTGAAAACCGAATAACGTCCGCACACGGGTGCGCTCTGCCTACATGACTGACCCCCAACGACTCTGAGATCATGACCTTAGCCAAAATCGAGTTGGATGCTTAACTGACTGAGCCACCCAGGTGCCCCTGTAGAGTTTTATTAGGGGATAGTGTTGGCTTTAAAAAAGAACCCCATGCTATTGTTACAGGCTTTTCTTGCTTCCCAACGCTGCCCACCATCACTACCCAAGAGTCTTAGTAAAGAGGATAATTTAAAAATAAAACTAAGGGAAGAGATTTCTTTAAAATACAAATAGAGGTATTAGGGATAAGGTAGGTAGGAATCACATAACTGTGCCTTGTCGCCGTGTGTGCCTTAAAACAGATTCTTAAACACTTTCATTTTAAGACCCCTTTATTCCCTTAAATTATTGAAAACTGCAAAGAGGTTTTGTATGTTTAATCTTCATAATTAAAAAAAATTAACTTGTTCTGCTTGAATCTACAGTGATGTACACTGATGGGAATGAATCCAGTAAAAAGACTGAAGAAGTAACCAGCATGAGTAATATGGGATCTGTGGAAGAGTCCACGCCAGCTTCGGAATACCTGACTTAAAATGAACTTTTGTAAATGGACCTGTTGCATGGGACTGTCTTATCCCACATTCTTGGAGACTCAGCAGTGACTTCTGGGTGAACCATCTCTTCTTTTGGTAAATTTACAATGAAGGAAAGTAGCATCCAAGCTAAATGAACCATAAGATGTATTTTGCAATTTTTTGTTTTTGTGACACTTGCACGTTCTGAATAAGTAACACATCAAAAATTCTACCTAATATGCTCATAACTCACTTTCGAATATTCCTCTAAAAAGTATCCATCTTTATGCAAAATTACAGAATTTTGAGATATGTTAATGTTCCTCCAGGGATAGGTTATAATATTGGATTTCAGGATAAGGGAAAACTATAAAATCCTTATACCAGTTTTACTTCTGATAGCTGTACTTTTCTATATGATATAACGTGAACAGCCAAGGTAAATTTTCTTAGTTGATAGTTAAATTTATCTCCAAATGCTGTGGACATTGTACTTTTCTCACTTTCCTCAAATAAACTATGAGGTTTTTTGTTTGTTTGTTTGTTTGTTTGTTTTGTTTTTTAACTGCAGAAGATGTCTTTACATGTGGATACCCAGCATATAACACAGTATCTGGTACACAAGTACCAAACATGGAGTAATTTTCAGTGTTAAAGTATAGCTCATTCATTGGACTGCTGAGTTTTAAACATCTTTTTAACTATTTAAAACAGAACAATCGTAGGAAGTAAGGAAATAGTGAGAAAGCTCATTGGAATTTTCTTCCAAGGGAGTTGGTCTGAAAGCTTAAGAAACCACAAAGGACACTGAAATCTTCCATCGTTGTTACTATGAATCGGATGTTGCCCCAGATCCTCCTTTATCTTAGCAGAACTGCTTTTTGTACCTGTGGTCTTTCCTCAGCCACTTTGGTGGTTCTTAGAGTTAATGAGATTAATGATTATTCTGGTCTCAGTACCCACTTTCAGTACAGTAGACCATTTACATGCTTTCACATACCACATTTACTCACCTCACCATACCAGGGGCAGAGTGGTCTTTGAGAAATCAGAAAAACACTACATATTGTAAGAATTAGTTCCAGATCTGGTAACATTTCAGTATCTGGCTCACATTTTAGGTTACCTTTGTTAAGTTTTTAAAAAACTCAATAGGAAGGTAAGATTGGTGATGTGAAGATGATCCAACTGGAAATGATATTGATAGTATAGAAAAGGAGCCAGTAAGCTTGCAAGTTTTACACTGGCCTGAAATTTACAGGAGTTTTTGAAATGGGTATGAACAGATATCTCGCTGGAGAGCAAAGAAAGTTCGTTTTCACAGGCCTCTGAGGAGGTGGCAGCTGAGGGGACAAGCACTTCCTAAATGTCTACTGGATTATGGAATAACATGTCTTAGTTAATCTCGTAATGGGAAGTGAGAGTTTGGAGAGGTTGTGAATGTCATGTTTGCAATGCCGTGTTTGGGTTAAGGTAAAGCAGGTCAAGGTACTTTTTTTTTTTTTAAGATTTATTTATTTATTTGAGAGGGGAGGGGCAGAGGGAGAGAGAGACTTCACACTCCCCACTGAGCAAGGCGCCCGATGGAGCTCAATCCCACAACCCTGAGATCATGACCTGAGCCAAAATCAAGAGTTCTGACACTTGATAGACGAAGCAACCCAGGCGCCCCAGGTCAAGATATTTTTAAAAGTCTGACTAGAAAGGGGTTCCAGAAGGCTTAGCTCTAGGAATTAGTAAAGAAAAAAGAAATTGGCAAAAGAGGTGAGGAGTGAGGTTTTACTCCCATTACTGTGATTAAGGAAATCAGGGCTTTGTCAAGCTAGATTGTTAGTGTTTCTGTTAGCAACTGAAGAACTGAAGAACTTGAGTGCTGAGTCGGCAGGAAACTGTTAACCAGAGGACACCTGCTTCTGAAGATACTGGGGATGTCAGAAGGTGGAATCTCAGAGTTTCTAAGCGCCCCTCTGCAGACTTAGATCAGGAGACTGAAACCCAGAGGAGTCACACATAGCTCTTTAAGTTCACTTGCTCTCAGATGAATATAGTTCCCCTTAAGGACAGGCAGCTGAGTCCGAATGAATTGAAAGCTCTCGTGAGAAGAAACAAATGAACAGCTCCAACATGGGACAATTAGCTGAGGCAAAAACTGAAATTGGGTGCTGAGCACTTCTACAACCTATGTGGTAGTCGGTCCCAGCAAAGGTCCCGGGCAATGCCCAGGGCTCTGAGGGCCATAACTGATGGACTAGAACTAGGAAGGGGAGGCATGTCATGCAGTCTGACCGCAGGTTCAAAGCAGACTGCCTGCTCCAGCATGAAGGTTACTGACCAACCTCCTTGCTTCTGAGAATCAGAAGGAAGGGAATGAGGACAATCGAGGCTGCACTTAGAGTGCCATGTAACAACCAATCTAAGAGTGATTTAAATCAAGTTTAACATCATAAATAGGAGGGATCTGTCCCCTTCAAATTATGTATGTGAGGTAAAATGGACCACAAATGTCTCTTGAGGATGGGATTGCTTTTTGGTCCCGTCTGTTGTCCCCTGTAACTACAACAATGACACCAACAATCAGATCAGTCTGAATATAGGTACTAGATCTACCAGCAATGAAAGTTTGGGTCCTTTCCCTCCCCAAAGTTCTTAGTATACTCAGCTTTTTCCTTAAATCAGCTGAGGTGGGAGGGAAAGGAGGTAGAGAGGTAGTAAGCAAGGCTTTTAAAGTTCCAAATAGCTACCTACTCAGGCTCAATAAATGAACTAGATTTCTGCCCAAAGTACTCTATCTTCATTGCTAACGCTGTTTGAGCTTTGGGCACTCTGACTCAGCAGCCAGCCCCATACTCACTCTCAGCTGGGGACCTTGGGCTTGCTGCCCCACTGGCATAACATTCCTTTCTCGTTCTTGCACCGGACGGAGGACCAAATCCTGAAATGACTATGTTTAACTCACGGCGAACCTTCAAGAGAAAATGTATGTGTACATCCTCTGTAGTCAAACTGTATCAGATTTAACATTGCGTTATTGATTGTATCCCCCCCTTTATTGATTCTAACCTCCTCTGCACACATTTTGAACACACCACTTTGTGACTAGGAAGTAATCCCCTTTAAAATAAAGTGAAAGTTAGAATCCGAATTCAGCTTCTCTACATCACAACTCCATACAAGGAACTTTCTACCTCCCCACAGCCTAGTACGTCTCCTTGAACACTAAAATACCTACGGTCCTCTGCATGAATACACTGAAACGGAGGTCTCGGGATGTTCCTGTCCTGCCTCCACCTCTTCACACTTGCCGCCAACTCCGGGCGCAGTGACCAGTGTTTACCCTGCCCTCCACCTGTCGCATTTAGGAGGGGCAGCGGAGCGCCGGCGTGGGACTGTCGACTCCGCCTTACATTCTATCAGCAATTGACCTTTCAAAGACTGCTGGGGGAAGACGCTCAAGAGTCTCTTCCGGGATTTTCCAAGCACCTCGCCTTAATGAAACCGAGGTGCAATTCTCGATGGCTTGCAAGTTTCCAGCAGGGAGGATAAATCTGACCACTTAAGTCCAACTCTCTGACCCTTTGGGTAATGTCCAGGAGTCAGGAAACGCATCGCCGTGGTCCCCAGCCTAGACGACTCTCCCCACAAAGAGCTCGGCACCAGCGGTTCCAGTGACCACGAGGAGATCGCGGAGCCCGCCGGACCGTGCACCGTGTGGGGATCGGAAGACTCGCCCGTCCTTCCCTCCCGGCCCCAGGCGGCACAGCCACTGCGCGTGCGCGCTGGGCGGACGGTTTCGGAGACGGAGCTCCCCGCAGCCTTCCGTCTCCCGCGATAGCATGAAGACCGCCGAGGACGCCAGCGGAGCGCGCAGCGAGGGGCCGCGGGAGGTAGGCCTCTGCCTTCTCTGCGGCCTGCCGGCAGCAGGAAAATCGACCTTCGCGCGGGCCCTCAGCCACCGGCTGCGGCAGGAGCGGGGCTGGGCCGTCGGCGTGGTCACCTATGATGACGTCATTCCGGACGCGTTCCTGGAGCAGGCGAGCGCGCGGCCATTGGTCAGTACGGAGGGGGCGGGGCCGAGCCCCCGGTTGTGGAAGGAAGGGGGGGCGGCCTACTAAATGCGGGACTACACCTAGTGTGGGAGGGGCGCCCCTGATAGAGCGGGAGAGACCTGGATTCGGGAGAAGTGGAGTTGATTTAGCACAGACTATGCTGACTCCATCTTAGAGTAATTCGTTGTAGAGATTTGTGTGTCTCTGTGGGGCCTGTTTGTACTGTCCCTTCTACAGAGGGAGGCTCAAGACAGCGCAGGTGTCGTCAGCGTGCAAGAGGGAGCCCCCACCCCCGTGGTCAGGAATGCTCTTGAAAGATCCTTCAGGAAGATTGGTCTTAGGAAGGGACGGAATCTCTTAAAAATGTCAACACAGCCCGTTTAACATCCAGCCACGGGCAAATCTTTGTGGATCTATTATAAGTTTATACAATTTGCAGGAAAAAAAATTTTTTTTAAGAAAAAGTTTACAGAGGGGCGTCTGGGTGGCTCAGTCGGTTAAGCGTCTGCTTCGGCTCAGGTCATGATCCCAGGGCCTGGGGATAGAGTCCCACATTGGGCTCCCTGCTCAGCGGGGAGCCTGCTTCTTCCTCTCTCATTGACCCTCACCTGTGCTCTCTCTCTATGCTTTTTCTATCTCAAATAAATAAAATCTTTAAAAAAAAAAAAGAAAGAAAGAAAAAGGATACAGAATTATAAATAACAAAATTCCTAGGGTCCCTCCCGTGATAGTAGAAAGTGGCTGTACAAAGAAGGGTCTGGCCTCTGAAGCTCACTCTTCATTCATCTCAGGGTGAATCTGCCTCCGCCAGCATAGGAAAACATGGTGGTCCCTTAACTGGCCACAGATGAAGTTATGGGCTTCTGTTCAGTGACCAGCTTGTATGTTCCAACTGCACACTTTAGGCCTTCAGATCACACTCAGCACAGTGAGGTGCATCCCCTTGGAGATGGGCGGGGAGAGAGTAGATTTATATCTCCCATCTCACTCTCACTCTATAGCAGATCCTCTGACAGATTCTGAAAAATTAAATTATGTTTGTCGTTTAATACCCTAGTGTAGATGGATGCACGTAAATAACGTGCAAATATGATGTGATTCCACTCTGTAAATATATATGTACAAATATAGTACATTTGCTGGATGGAAACATTTTGGACTGCTCCAGCAAGATTATATATACTTTTCCTATTCTTTTTTTTTTTTTTAGATTTTATTTATTTATTTGACAGACAGAGATCACAAGTAGGCAGAGAGGCAGGCAGGGGCGGGGTGGGGTGGGAAGCAGGCTCCCTGATGAGCAGAGAGCCCGATGTGGGGTTCGATCCCAGGACCCTGAGATCATGACCTGAGCCAAAGGCAGAGGTTTTAACCCACTGAGCCACTCAGGTGCCCCATACTTTCCTATTCTTGTTTAATTGTGAGGCAAATGCAGTATCAAGTCCTGGACAGCACGAGATTTAATTGGACGGTAGTATTTTCACCACTTGAGGGAAAGCTGAAAACTGTTGATAGGGATTGTTGTATTGCTGGGCTTTTTCCTCGCTTTTATTATATTTTTTTCCACTCCTCCCTACAGACGAAGCCCGTGGGACTCATCTAGTCACCATGGGCAGGAAATCTCACCTTCTAGGAAATGATCTTGTTTCCTTTTCAGTAGGTTTAGGCGATGTATTTGTTTTATATGGTGTAATCTCAGTTGATGTGGCAGGGCATGGACAGGCGGGAGAGGGATCCTTTTCTGGTGTTCCTATGTTTTCTCCAGCCTAGACCTCATAACTCTGTCCCTGCTATCCGCAGTCCTTGAGCAGCACAAGATTACCTGTATTCTCAAGTTATGTATTCTCTTCCCTCCGTCTACCTTCTCTGTTGTTCCCCATCCTGTTTCAACTCTGTTGTTAGCCTGAAATCTTTTCATCTTGACCCAGGCACCTTTCAGCTGATCTTTTCCGTCCACAACTTTCCTCATTTCAACAGCAAACCAGCATAGCTGTATCTAAGCCAGACTATTTTTATTTTAGCAGGATATTGATTTTGGCTTCTCATTTCTCCTGGAGGGTAACAGCGGACGATTGATCTAGCAGAGAAATAGAGATGTGAAAACAAATGCCTAAACCCTCTGCTAGAGCAGGATGCTATGTAGGCAAGGGAGATTCTGAGCTGCCTCCTGTGTGACTGAGTCTGAGGAGACTTCAGAGGACTAACATCAGGGAGTAGGAGTTTGTGGGCAGAGGAAACCATGTATACTGAGATACAGAGGCATGACAGAATAGGTTGTGTTCAGAGAATTCCAAATGGTGCAGCGCTGTGAGCTGAAATGTTCATGTGCGGTGGGTGGCAGTTAATCGTGACCACCCTGCTGGCCAGAGCCCAGCAAAAATTGTCATTCTTCCATCTTTTGCAGCCATCGCAATGGAAATTGCTTCGACAGGAACTGTTGAGGTATCTAGAATACTTCTTGATGGCTGTCATGAACACGTGTCAGATGTCTGCCCCACCCAACAGGACCGCAGCCATGTGGGAGGATTTTATAACCTGCTTAAAGGATCAAGATCTGTTATCTTCTGCTGTGCTGGAAACCCAGTCTTGCTACCTCTTAACGAAGACTGCTGTTTCTAGACCTTTGTTTTTGATTTTAGATGACAACTTTTATTATCAAAGTATGAGATACGAAGTCTACCAACTGGCTCGGAAATGTAATTCAAACATTTTTTTCTTACACACAGACACTTGTTTGCCTATCAAAATCATTATCATTCTTAGTGAGAATTTAATTGGATGGGGAAGTTAGTATTGCTTTACGTAATTTTTGAAGCTATATGTTCAGCTTTGCAAATGGTTTTTCCTGCTGCCGCCGGTATCATTTTTCTAATTTGTTTATGTCACATTTTGGAAAAAAACAGTGCACCAGTAATTTTGTGGTTTAACGTTTTCAGATTCATTAGGCTTCTGCCAGCTCTTTTTAGACTGTTCTCTCGAGACCTGTTTGCAGAGGAATGATCAGAGACCCCAGGCTCTGCCTGCTGAGACCATCCACCTAATGGCAAGAAAGATAGAAAAGCCCAACCCTGGGAAAAATGCTTGGGAACACAACAGCCTCACAATTGAGAGTACGCCGTGTTCTTCTGAGGCCAGGTACCCCACACAAAGCTGACCTTCACCGGCTGCCTCCCTGAGCCCGGCCAGCTGTGCTCCTTGCTTGACTCATGTCCCCTTGGTTAATCTTTCCACAATCGGTGGAGATTGTTGTCTTCCCTTGGAGAGGAGGCAACTGAGTGAGAAAGTTACTTTGCCCAGAGTCCTCAAGCTTGCTGCAGCTGAGATGTGAACCCGAGTTTGTGTGCAAACGTGGACTGTCGTTAAGACTGTGTTGTCGTGAGAGATCAGAGCAGGGGATGCAGAGTAGGGCGCATCTTTGAAACTCTCGCTACAACCTTAGCACAGTCTAAAGAGTTTGCCTGGTCATTTTCCTCTAGAAAGAAAATGGGTGGGAGGGGCAGGGTCCGAATTTTGCCTTAAACCTCCCTGTCGTTACACTGCTGCGTGTGTGTGAGGCTTCTGGGCTGTAGTGCTAGTGCTTCCGTGCATGGTCTGTGTCTTGGGAGTTCTACAGCAGCACATTTCTAATGGAATTTTCACTGCTGATGGAAATGGTCGCTATTTGTACCATCCAGAGTAGTGCCTGCAGGGCACCAGTGACCGTTGAGCTCTTGAAACACAGCCAGTGCCTCTGAGGGCCAAAATTTAAAATTTTATTTTAATTGTTTTAAATGTAAACAGCCTCTTGTAGCTAGTGGCTGTTGTGTCCGACAGCAGAGTTCCAGAGCTGTATTCCCCACATTTCCTCAGCCCCTGACTAACTGTTGTCCACGGGGCATCAGCAGTTTGTTTGTTTTTTTTTTAAAGATTTGAGAGAGAGCACTAGTGGGGAGGGGAGCGGCAGGCAGAGGGAGAGAGAGAGAAGCAGACTCCCCACTGAGCAGGGGGCCCAAGGTGGGGCTTGATCCCAGGACCCTGAGATCATGACCTGAGCAGAAGGCAGAGGCTTTAAGCAACTGAGCCACCCAGGTGCCCCAGATCAGTCATTTTTAAAAGGCTAATTTTTAAAATTCATTCCTCAAAATGTTTAGTTCTAAGATATCGTTTCCACCCATTTCTTAATACATACTTGAACATGCTAAAAAAAAATTGGATTTAAGTGACTATTGTTTATAGGTTTATGAAATAACCTACTGCTGAGGTTTCTAATTTTAACTTGTAATATCCTGAAACTTTGAGCAGGTGCATAACCAGCTGATTCCTGCTCACTCTGGAATACTTGAAATTTTTTCCTTTGGAAGTGAATGGCTGGTTGAGGCCTCCAGGTATCTATCCCATGAGAGTGGCCTAATGTTCTCAATGCTCTGAGACCAGGAAGGGCCAGTTCTTGCAAAAAGCAAGGAAGAGTATTTCTCCCACGCTTTTGCCAATGCTTAGCACAGTCTGTTTTGTCTTGGGTCTTTGGAGACTGGCCACCTGTTCTCACATGTCCAAAATAGTCACAGCACCAGTGAAGGGGTTGTTTGAAGCCTGGTAGCCTTGTATTAGAAGTTGAAAGATGATCTGACAAGTGTACATTTTCCAGGCCTCTATAAAATAGTACTTCACCACCACTAACACTGGTAGTGTTACTACTCACAGTAACGGCTGGTGAGCAGATACTCTGTATTGGGCATGTACTGAACGCTTCCTATGTTTAATCTCATTCAATTCCCACAAACAACTCTTGAGGAGATATAGAATTATCCCCATTTTATACATGTGATGACCGACAGGTAAGCCGGGTGACACATCCAGGTAGTAAGTGGCAGACCCATGGTTTGGACCCAGCACGATCTTACTCACTCCAGAAGTTGGCTCTTTTCAGCGTGAGAAAGATCATCTTGAAGTTGAGCTTTAACTCCCGCTGGCCTAAATAGCTTCAGTGCTTCCCTCTGCACTCGGAGTAGTAGAATTCAGACTCCTTACGGTAAAGTACGTGTTCTCACCCCAGTTAACTTTGCAACCTCATATCCTACTACTTTCCCCCTTTGCCGCTTTTCAACCAAACTGGCCTTTGTTCCATGAACAGGAGGAGCTTGTTCTTGCCTCTGGGACTTTGTACTTGCTGTCCCCTCTACCCTTCGCACTTACTATGCGTGATTGACTTTCCTGCCCATCCTAACTAACGTGAGGAGTGTTCGTTGGACTAACGGGCCACACTCTTAACACCATCACTTTGTTTATTGCCTTCATTCATCCACTCGTCACTGTCTGAAATTATAACTTTTTGCTGAAGTAATGAGACAGACAATGTAGCCATCACCAGCCTTAGAGACAGTGGGGGTTTCACTGCACTTCCTGCTTAGCACACAGTGTCTCAGTACAGTGTTTGTATTTTTCATATCAGAAGATACTCAGTAAAACCTCGTTAAATGAATGAATGAATTCACCCTCAGCCCTCCATGGCCCCTTGACCAGTGGGGAACTTCTCTAACCTACATTGGGTAAACAAGCAGAGGCCACAAGTACAGACTGAGTATCCTCCTTTAGGGCATGGAGTGGAGCTATGGCGGACTAACATTTAGCACTTAATGAGGGAAATAGGAGAATGTCTTTTTCAAAGCTTATTGAAATGAGTCTTAAGAAATTAATATTTTTTTAAAATAAGAAGATTCTTTTGCCTTATAATTTGTTTTAAGCTTCTACTTTTAGACTTTGAAAGTAGAAGGTAGCTTCCAAATTGTTTAATTTTCCCCCCTTTGGCTTAGGGCCTTTGGGTTACACCACTTTTATTCCTCTAGACTTCACTTTAGTGTTCATAAACACAAGTTTTTGGGTTTTTTTTTTTAAAGGATGTTTGATATAGGGATTTATTTTATCTCCCCTTCTCTTTCTTGCAGCCTGAAGTTGACTGATTTATTGCTTACTGCTTTGGAGAATCCAGTAAAATATATTGAGGACAATGTGGATCAAAAGGTAAATCTTCTGGATACATTTAGCATAAATGGGAAGGCACCACTTTCGGAAGGAGGGTCTTTTTGAGCTGAGTGGGTAAAATATGGAAAATGCGTGGTCACTGCCTTGGCGTCTCCACGGTGCTCCCGCTTCTGCTCCTGGCTGTGGTGGGGCATCAGCTGGCCAGAGCCATTTGTCCAACTCTCAGGAATATCGGAGCCTGTCACCATCACGCTGGTGTTGGTGACTTGAAATGGGCAAGGAAGGAATACGTGCACTGGGGACACAGACAAACACTGGAAACGGGGTGTGTTGCTGTTGTTGCTGGAGAGCCCGTGACTAGACATTCACCAGCACCCGCGGTCTAGATGGGCGCATCTTCTAGGGAAGGAGAATGGGAACCGAAAAGCCACCTTCACTTATCTTTTCGTCCCATCAAATACGCGTCCTACTTTAGCCATCTCTCTTATAAAACTTCCCATAACCATGTCTGTGTTCCATAGGAAACAGACAGAATCATTTGTTCAACTAATGTTCTGCATCAAGCCGACCAGACGCTCCGAAGGATTGTCTCTCAGACCATGAAAGAGGCAAAAGGTATGCTGGGTGGTTTTCTGGGGTTTGGTTGGTCCGACGCTGCTGCTGTTCCTGTCCCCTTGACACGGCGGGTGGCTTATTAGCGCTCAGTCCTAACGTTCACATCATGTTCCGGTTTCAGGATGCAACTTGGTTATGTAAAAACTAAATATCCGACCCCTGGAACAGTGTCTTCGTCCGTCCAGTACATTTTTATTGAGTGGCTACTCGGCACTAGGCTTTATCCTAGATGCCGGGGCATCAGTAGGGAGCAGAGCGTTATACTGAGCAGACAGATGACAGATAGTGAGTATCGGCTGAGGTGCTGGAGAAACATAAAGTAGGGAAGGGTGATGCAGAGTGATGGGAGAGCTTCTCTTTAAGGGTAGTCTGGAAGGCTTCTCAGCGATGACATTTTAGCCGAGCTACAAATCAACAGAAGGAGCGAACACGCAGTCATCTGGTGGCAGATCACTCTAGGCAGTGGCCACAGATGCAGAAGCCTAGAGGTGAAGTTGTCTGGCATGTTGTAGAGCAGAAAACGGGGCTATTGAGTTGGGTGGAGGAAGGAATGGGGAGAGGTGCTCAGGGGCCACCTAGCAGATGGGCAAGCTCAGTGTGTCCTCAGTCTGAACTTGAATGGAGTATGTGCTAGTTCTAGAACATTAACTCCTTCAGGTTTTAAATATTTAAATATTGAACTCCTTGCTATATTTAAATTTTGATTTAAAAACTAATGTTAGCTTAACATTTCTTGAGTTTTTATATGCTAAGTGTCCCCATGAGGTGAGTGTAATTTTACAGATAGGACATGAAGGTTCTGGGAGGGTCAAGTAACTTGCCCAAGGCTGAACAGCTATAAGGCACTTGGACAGCCTGGGTTCAGAGTCAAGTCTCCCTCCCGTGTGTGCTTTCTGTTAGGCTCCCTGCATCACCAGCTTTGATTATTAATACCTTTACAAAAGCTTAGAAAGTTGGAAAAGCAAACAGTACACTAACCATATGGTATTTTTCATACTTTTTTTTTTTTTTAACCACGATCCATAAGCCCATTTTCTCTTGTATCCTGGTGTGTAGTCCGGTACAAGAACATGTGCGTGCGTAGCGACAAATTTCACAAAGCCCTCACATGTGGAGTGAGCTCTACAACATTCTATTTGACTTTATTTTAGAAAACGGCTGCCTGCAACCTGCATCTCACCTGTAGGTTACAGTCTGGAGTTTGGAAACCAGAGGCCTGGAACAGAAGCAGCAGCATAATTAGAATAGAGACAAAGATAGTTGTAGGAGTTCTCTCAGGCGTTTGCCTTTATTGCTTTCTATGTAAAATGAAGAGAAGAAGGGGGAATAGGATTATGCCCAAATCACTCTTGACTCATTTTTCACCCATTAAAATGACACTTTTGTCTGTTTATTTATTTATGTGAGGGAGGTGCTTCTAGCTCCTGGATCCATACCTAAATGAAATTAAAAATTCAGTTCTCCTGCCATCCAGAGAACATGAAAAGACAATCCACATATCCGGAGAAAGTATTTGCGGATCCTTTATCCCAGAAGAGACTTGTATCCAAAATAGGTGAAGGACGGGTACCACCCACTCAGAGTTACAATCACATTTTATTTTTTATTTATTTTATTTATTTTATTTTTTTTAAGATTTTATTTATTCGTTTGACAGACAGAGATCACAAGTAGGCAGAGAGAGGCAGGCAGAGAGAGGAGGAAGCAAAGCAGGCTCCCCACGGAGCAGAGAGCCCGATGTGGGGCTCGATCCCAGAACACTGGGATCATGACCTGAGCCGAAGGCAGAGGCTTTAACCCACTGAGCCACCCAGGCGCCCCACAATCACATTTTAAAAATGGGCAAAGGGTCTGATAGACATTTCCCCAGGGTAGATACAAAGATGGCCAAACCATAAAGAAAACACAATTATCAGTAGTCCGCAGGGAGGACTCCAGAGCATACCCGCTGGGCCGGCGGGAGTCTGGAAGGGCCGGTGCGGGCGGGACGTGGAGGAGCGCAAACCCGCCCGGCTGGTGGGGATGTGAAGTGGTGCAGCTGCTTTGGCAAACAGCCAAGCAGCTCCTCAAATGGTTCAATGGTGTTACTGGGGGGGGCCCAGCCCACCCACTCCTAGGTGTCTGCTCAAGAGAATTGCCAACATATGTTCGTACCAAAATGTGTACACAAATGTTTGTGTCAGCATTATTCCTGGTGGCCAGGATGAACCCTGAAAACAGCATGCAAAGTGGAAGAAAACACCACCCAAAGCCACGCTGCTTGAGTCCCGGCCTATGAGGCGCCCAGAAGCGGGACATCGGGAGCCCCACGAGCCCATCGGTGGTGGCTTAGGGATTCGGGGTGGGGCCGAGGCTGGGGTAGGCAGGTGGGAGTAAGGGATACAGTTTTCTGAGAGGATGAGCCGTTCTCGAATGGACCGTGGGGAGAGTCGCACGTGCCTGCAGGTAGCCAGATCGTAGTTTAAATGAGTGAAGTGTATGGTTTGCCAGTTTTATTTTAGCAAAGCTGTTTAATAACACGACAGTCTTATTTTAGTCACATTACCCACGTGTCTGGTGGCTCCTGGGTGGGGTAGGACAGAACATCTTCATCATCGTAGGAGGTTATAGATCACACGGCCCTGCTAGAGAGAATTTAGCAGCTTCAAACCGAAATGTCATTGCCTCGTTCTGCTTTTTGGCCTTACTGCCTCTTAGTTCACAAAGACTCTAAATCACTATCTTGTCAACAACAAGGAAAATCCTTTTCAGGTTTATCTTTTCTGCTCTTGCATTTCGTGGCCAGGTACTGAGAAGATTTGTTTGCTGTCACATGAATGTGACCTTTGCTTCTATAGGACACCTACTGGACTGTGATTATTAACAGAATAATCTGATTGGTTTGTCTGAAGTATTCAAATTCATTTCCTGATGTTATTAGACAGCCCAACCTGATTAGTTTACACAAATAATTGTGAGAGTATCTTTTCATTTTAGATGAACAAGTGCTTCCTTTCAACTTGAAGCTCCTAGCAGAGGAACTCAACAGGCTCAAAGCAGAGTTTTTGGAGGACCTAAGACATGGAAACAAAAAATACCTGTGTTCTCAGCAAACCATCCACATACCAGATGTTATTTCTTTTTTTCATTATGAGAAAGACAACATTGTCCAGAAATATTTTTCAAAGCCGCATTAAAACTTCTGAACTTCCAATCAAATGTCTGATTTTGGTTAAGATTTTACAAACTAAAACAATTTCGTGTTCCTTGATGTCTTCTTACTCAGTGATGGGAAATGCCAAAGACTTACTTTAAAAAAATAAAAATTAAAAAAAAAGCAACAGTCCATTCTAAACACCCATTTGTCATAACAGAAATAACTTCAGTCAGTCACTTGTCAGACGTGACATGGGTAATTAGGCATCAGAAGCAGGCAGGCTTCCTTGTTTCTGTGCCAGAAACCTTAGGGTGGGGCTGGTGGGGATAGGGGTCTTGCTGAATGGATCCTCAGGAAAGCAGAGAGACTAGGAAGGAGACGAGATGTGGGTACATGGAGCTGTTTTTATCTTTAATTCATGTGACCGATCGTCTCATGGGTAAGGCATTCTACAGATTCAAACCAATGCATCCATAAAACCTTTTTCTTTTTTTTTTTTTAGTTTATTAACAGTTTACATACTGGAAAATTACTAAAAAAATTGGATCCTAGTTTTCAAAGAAGAAAAATCGAGATCAATAGAAAAGTGTTATTTTTTTTTTTATTCATGTATTACAAAAGCAAAGCTTCATTCACAATAGGAACTACAGACTGGATAGTTATTTCAGCATTGAACTGCTCTCTGGAATCCCTAAACAATATAGTGTTTTGCAACCATACTCAAGTTTTATGTTTTGCATACAAAATATGTTCTTTACGTCAAAGTACATATTAACAAAAACAAGTTCTAGAAATCATATACCCTCTAAGACTATTTAAGGAAAAAGTCCTTAGCAGGGATTTTTTTTTTTTAATAATACATCCACTTGATAAATATTTTTGTAGAACTTAAAATGAGGTTTATCTCAACATTTTTAAAGTAATATTCCCTTTGTCAAACGATTCTGCAGATGAATGGCAAACACTTATTTCTAAAATGAAATAGCACTGGAAAATATTCAAAGCAAAAGTCTAGCCTTTACTTGAATTTCAAGAAGTTGTAGCTACATACTATATTAGTAAAATCTGAAATGAAATTATTCCCTGTTAATCTCTTCACAGTTTCTTTAAAAAAATATTAGTGGAGATAAATTATCTACCAACTTTAAAAATCTAAACTTATGTTCACTGAACAAAAATACATTTAGTTTCAGAACATTGCCTGTTAACAGCAAAGTACTATAAATAGTTCACGTTCAGCTTTTCCTAGCAGCTCATTTCTATAAAATATATGATTAAAAATAAAATGGGAGAAACGTATTCAACACTTAATGGAAGATAGTATCATCTTTCCATGTATAAAATTTTAACTCACAGAAAATTTAAATAAAATCCTAAATCTTTTTAAAAATACAATACTAAAAAAGTTTATAAGGTAGATTTGATGCAAAAACTTTAGTGCATTTAGAATTTATTGTAGCTCTCAAGCATTGACACCTTTGGAATACCAACTGTGCTCTTTTTAAGTCATAAGAAAATTAGAATTATACATTCTAGTTTGTAATTATGAAAAAAAAGATATTTTCTGTTTAAATTAAAATGTACCTTCAAAACATCTATCTTTAGTTGCCAGAAAAGAAGTGTTTGTCACTATTTGGCCCAGAATATAAAGTTAATAAACTGGTTTTAACAAGAGGGTTCTTTCTCTTTTAATGAAAGCCTTCATTTTTCTATCTTGGGGTATTGCTTTTATGTGAAAAATAAAAGTGAGAAGGAAGAAAATAATTACAAAATCTTCCAAATGACAGCAACCTGTTTCTTTCTGGCAATAAATAAATATTAGAGCCAAGTTCCACATTTGGAAATGGTTGCATTCAAGCTGATCTAAGCAATGAGTGATTTAAGCAACAAGAGAAACTCAACTGTAGATTCAGAAGCCTCAGGCAAGGGAGAGAGTTAGAGTTTGGACAGACTCCTCGCTGCTCTTTGAACAATGCTGTTGAGGTTAGTTTCAACCGGATGTTAAACCATGAGAACTCATTTTAATGGCTTTCTAGCATTTGGAAGGGAGGGCAGAAGATCCATTAACTTGGCCCATGGGGGTTCTGGTGGACCTTCTTCTGCCTACCATCAACACTTCCCTTTTTCTTTACTATAGAAGAGTGGAGGTCCTGTTTGCTTAATAAATGCTTCATAGTTGGGGTATTCTCTTTAAGAAGCCAATTAGCAACTTTCAAGATTTGAACCAAATTAAAAATGAAACTTTTGCAAAGTACACAGAAACCACAGTTAGTAACAATATATTTTATTGTTTGACCAAGCTCTCTTCAGAGTAAGCTAGTTATTACACAATATAAAAACAATAGCCTCCTATTCAAAATTATTCTAATTTAGCAAGTCTTATTTTTGTAAACAAATATCACATTTAAATGCATTTTATATCTATGTTCCCACTTCTGTACCCTTTCCTACTAAGGCGACGACTCAGTCTCCATATAGTTTTGTCTCTGTCCATGAAAAACGGGCAGAACTGCAAATAAGCATTACAAGCTGAATTCACAGAAAATATTTTAAATGGCCAATTCTGAAGGGAAAACCGGAATTTGTTTTGGACACGTTTTTATTTTTTTAAGTATTACTTCGGCATCCTATTTGCCCATGTATTTCTATACCCACCTCTTCTTGGAAATTATAGGCAGTAAGCGGACAGAAGGCAGGAAATGGAAACTTCAGAGATTTTTTTTTCTTTTGAAGGACTGCATTTCCAAGGAATAAGATGGATGACTCCTACTGTACCTCTTTGGTCATCAAAGGAATAGGAGAAATGAGATTCTCAGTGTACTTGTCAAACTCACCCGACACTAATGACGTCAGAGTGAAGAACTTAAAGGTTCAAATTAAAAGGAAAAAACAAAAAGGCATCTTTAAAGATAATCCTCTGATGTTTCCTCTGATGTTTCTAGCATTCTCATGTGGTTTTTACAAGAAGTCAGAATAAAAAGAATCCAATGGAAAACTTGACACATATTTAAATTAGAAATTAAATAAACAGGTATTTTAAGTATTAAACCCATTCCATTTAGGTTTCATTTCTCTTCAGAACTTTTACCTCATATTTTTGTAACTTGAATTTAAAAAGAATGACCTGTTTTACATTTCCCCTTATGGGGAAAAAAAAAAAGGATCTGCTACCCTAAATAGCTCTGTGATCATCAGGTGAAAGGAATGTACTGCAAACATTCCGCAATGTAAACAAAACAGCATGTTGACAGAGAACGGGGTTAAGGGCAATTCCTCTACCAAACACTGAAATCAACTGTTTATGACAGACTTTGTAAGAGACGGTAATTCAACCATGTTGAAATATGGCAGAAATAATATCTAGCTGTGATGTGTATGTTGAATACCAAGTATCAGTAAGCTCTGAAGTGTTTACGGACCACAAGCACGGGGAATTTAAATGATACCTGTTAGGGTTACGACTGCACTCCAGTTCTCAACCGTCTAAGTGAAAGGAAGAAAACAGACTCCGGCGTGTCTCACTGCTCTAATACATAAATGAACCTGACCAGATATTTATAGAAAAAAAAAATTTGTTTCCACTGTCAAACTTTTCTATAAATATATAGACTTTAAATTAGCAGACACCTTATTAGAATGACCCCCCCCCAAAAAAACCCAATAAACAAAACTATAAAACACAAAATGGTAAAACCAAGTAAAGCATAATGTGATTAGTTTCAATCAGTGTTGGTTATGCTGTCCCCTTGCAAAATGACAGGCAAAATCATACTTGTTTTTACATTTGCAACCACATATGTTACACTGAAAAGGATTTTCATACCCATGACATCCCATATGAATAGTGTAAAGGATATTGTCGGCAAAGTACATATCACAGTGCTGGCAGTGGTGCAGAAGCTGCGGGTCCTGGACCGGCAGGGTCGGAGCTGGAGTGCTCGGCTGGCTGTTTCCTATGCTGGGAGTACTCGTGTGGGCACTTGGTTCACTGCTCGGACCCGCCACTGGACTGTAGTTCCTCTGACTATGTGACGGCCGAGGTTCAGGGCTTGTGGGAGAGGAGCTCTGAGGGATACTTGCTGACACGGCAGCAACCACTGCTTGGGCAGAGGGCTGCTGCATCATGAAAGGCTTCTCATCGGGGCAGGGAACTACATCAGGAGATGCAGGGTTTTGGTTTTCCGGTGGCAAACTAGACAACTGTCCTGCCAGAGTTGAGAGCTGATTTAAAGGGTTGTCAACCATGAGTTCTTGGGGGTCCCTTGGTAGGCCACCAGCTGATGTGGTTTTTGCCATACTTTCATAGGAGTCAGTCTGGATATTTGGGATTTCATGGGTAAAATCGTTAAGGTAGTCTGGCTTCTGAACCACCATGGAAGGTGGACTTAAGTTGATTAATGCTCTTCTGCTATAGCCCAGATTGCTTGTTTTCTTCTGTAAAACTCCCCACATTTTCTTGCTGCTTAAGGAAGACCTAGTACCTTTAATTGGTACCATTTTATGCTTGCGCCTTCGATGATGGGACAGGTTACTTCGATCACTGCAGCGGAAGGAACATAATTCACATTTGTATGGTTTTTCTCCTGTATGGGAACGCATGTGGGCTTCCAGATGACGCTCATAAGCAGATGCGAATGGACATAAGTGACATCTATGAGGTTTCTCACCTGTTTAAAAAAGAAAAATGGGGAGAAACTGCAAGAGTAGTTATGGAAAGCTTCGTGTGCTGCCCATTGATTAGAAGAAATCTGTCAACTTAAATCAGCAACAATTTGAGATCTACAGATATGTTCCATTAGTCAATACAGTGTAAAAACTGTTATGGTTTCAACTGGCATCTGGGGAAAGGAGAGCAAAACTGACAGTAATATTCCCTCCGTAATAATGACTTTATCAAAGTACGTGTCAGTTACATGTTTATGGACACATCTATACATGAACACTTCTTCATACATATCCACACACCAATACCCCTTACTCTGGAAAAAATACAAAAAACCTTTTCTAAAAAGTCCTTCTATTAAACAGAAAGCTCAAAATGGAAATAAGCTTCCCAGTCCAAGTATGAATTATGCTAAGTGTCCCTTCAAAATGGCCCAGTGCTTCACTTCTATCTTCTTCCTCTCCTCTTCAGTTGCCAAAAGGGACAACTGTGGGTCAGTGCCGTTAGCTGAAAATGGCGCAAATATATAAAATAAATATCTGGAATAGGAGATTTGGTCATTAATGGAACAAATAAGTACTGAGTCCTTACTATGCTCTGTTAGGCTCTGTGGGCACAAACATGGCCCTGACATGAGCCTTCTCCTCAGACACAGCACAAGACCCCATGTGGCACAAGGGTGAGACACCCGCCCAGGTCTTGCACCAGGGTAGGGCAGTAAGGAGGGCTTCTCAGAAGGTGGGAGGGCAAAGGAGCCCTGAGGATTAGCAGTGTAGTCTGCAACTGTATAAAAGCCTTGTCCCTGGTTGGCAACTGAAACATACTTTGTAAGCATAAAGATAAAAACATTTTATCACTTCACACTATCTTCAGCAATAACCTGTCCAGCCTAAGAAGCAGACAGATGTTGAGAGATAATGTGAATCAAGAAGAAAGACTGCTAAGGAAGGGGAAGCTCTAGATGGGGCCTTTCTTCCCAAGCCATTGTTTGGAAAAAATGGAGTAACTTCCTCATTTATTCATACCTTAAATCAATCTTCAATTTTAAACTATCAGAACTACTTATATGTCATACCAACTTGCCTCCCTTGGCCCCTCTCCTGCCCCCAAAGAAATGCTTTCTCCAGACATTTTGCCGTTACCTGTATGGATTCTAATATGTTCGATAAGCCGGGCTGTTCCTTTGCTGGCATAGTTGCAGTACCGACACTTGAGCTTTCCATCAAAGGTCCTTTCAAACCCGTCTACTAACATTCCTGAGTTTTCATCCAGGGAAACTTCAACAGATGGGTGATCAAGTCCATTCTGATCACCGTCTGTTCCAGCTATAAACAAAGTGTAGCAAAAGAAATTATGCATCTCAGAATCAACTCAATTTAGCATTTTAGTCTTGAGTGGTAGAAAATCTTTCATAAAATGATAGTTTATTTAGCACAAAAGCCAAACTCAGAAAATAGAGACTTTCCAAACAGAGGTCAATTTCATACAAAAGCAGTAGTATATTCTGTTGAGAACCTTTTATAGGGGGACCTCAAATTACTTACACATCAATTTTATCAGTCTTCAGCATGCTGTTGAAGAAGAGAATAGGGTATTTGCCTTATCTGACGGGTCTGGAGGACCAAGGGAGTAAACAGGAACGGCAAAGCTATACGTGTTTAAGACGCCGGCCCGCTCTACCAGGATTAGAACCGGCAGTCACGGTGATCTCCCCAAATCCTAACTCCGTATACTACTGTCTAAAGCAATTAATGTTGAGTTTTGCCCTGTTTCATTTGGTTTATACATGTTCTAGATACTGGGATGCATTTAGGATCTTAAAATTTTAACTAGGCACATAAAGGAAGATACTGTATCTGATAGCCTTGAATGTTAGAACTGTAAGAATTTGAAAGCTACAAGATATTCGTCTAGCCTTTTACTTTTAATTTAACCCAACTACTTTTTTGTATCTATAAAGAAACTGAAGGGGCAAAGTGCTGGTATCCGGAAATCCAGCAAGCAGTGGGGAATACAACCCTGGTCTGTTGAATCCCGGCCCAGGAACCTGTACACTAGTGTCAGGAGGGACATTTTTATTCCTACAACTTCTTGGGGGAAACACTTCTACTCCTCCACAGGAAACAGCAGTACTGGTATGAACAAGTCAAGCCCCCTCTTCCACTGCCCGCCCCCGCCCCTCACTAGGAGAAGAGAAGTGATTTTGCTGGTTGGTGCAAATCCAATATCCAAGGGAGCCACTGCACTGGAGGAACAAGGCTCAGTGTCCCCATCTTCGATGTCTCTCCCAACCCAGTGCCTCTCGAAATTCAATGTGTATATTAATCATGTGGAGAGCTTACTAAAACAGATTCTGATCCAGCAGATCTGCAATGGGGTCTGACAATTTATACTTCTAACGAGCTCCCAGGTGATGCCTAGTCTCTGCTGCTAGTCCCTGGACAACAAGGCCACAGACCATCTACGTCAGGGGGCAGCAAACTCTTCCCATGAGGATAAGATACTAAATAACTTGGGCTTTGTGGGGGCATCTGTTCTCTACGAGATCTACTCAGCTCCGCTGTTCTAGCACAAAAACAGCTCTAGAAAATATGCAAACAAGCAAGTGTGCTTCGGTTCAATAAAACTTTAAGGATGCTGAAGTCTGAATTTCATACAATTTGCATATATTATAGTATTCTTTTGATTTTTTTTTCCCCAACCATTCTAAAATGTAGAAATCACTCTTAGTCTGCAGGTCATACAGAAACAATTCACAGTCCAGCTGGGGCCCACAGGCTGTAGTTTGTTGACCCCTGAGCTACGTTCAGGAACAGATTCCAGACCGTGTGGTAAGCAAACCAGACTAAAGTCTATCTGGAGCAGGCTCAAGTGTGTCACCGCCTTCTCTGTGCAGATTCTCTGTCTAGAGAAGTAAACATGGTCAGCCCTTTCTTCATTTAAAGAGAGAAGAAAAAGGAACCCCTATTGTGTCTCTGATCGAATCCAGATTTCCCACTGCCAGATCCTTTGTGTAGGGAAGCTAATACTGCAGCCCGTTTGGGTTCCTTGTGTCTACTGTTAGCTCACAGAACTTAGAAGATGGGGCGGGTATTTAGTCTTCACCATATGGATAACTACATATGAGTATTAATATATTTATGAAAAATGAATTATTTAATAGTATTAAGATGAGTCTACCTCCCTGAAGAGCCTCTGCTTCTTTGTCCCCACTAACTGAGCCAGAAATCATGTTCACATGATGAGTCTGCTGAGTCAGATATTCCTGGAAATCTTTCACGAAGTCCAAAGGCTCTGGTTTCTTTTCACCCATCTTTGCTTTATCCTTTTCTTCTTTTTTCTTTCGAAGTTTACAATGTGTTATGCCTAGGGGAAAAAAACTGAAATAATTTCACACTATTTAGGGAGATCCAGTATGTATCAAAACAACAATGACAAAAATTAATATGTGCAAGGTATACAAAACAACACAGAATACAGTACCCGCCATTAAATAACTTATTTTCTTGGTGAACTAGAGAACACATAGAGAAAATTGTGAAAATTTACTGTATTTAGTATTTAAATAAACTGGGACCAAATTCAGTCTTAGTGGATGGAAAAAAGTTACAAAGACTGCAAAAAAGAGAAAATAAGTCCACATGAAAGAAGGAGGCACAGCAGCAGGGATTATCAATGAAGGAGACAAAAAAAAAAAAAAAAAAAAGGTAGCTCGATTGAGGCCAGAGAATTTTCTATATGGACATGTTACATATCTCCGTTGTCCAATAGAGTTCTGCTTGCCACACACAGCAATAAGCACTGCAAATGTGGCTAATACAAACAATGTGAGTTTTTTATTTTCTTTAATTAATTTAAATGGAAATAGCTACATATGGCTAGAGACTATCATTTCAGACAGCAAAGACTCTCAAATCATAGGGTTCACATGAATGCTCTAGAAATAGGTGCACTAGAACAGGGGCTGGCAATCCTTTTCTGTAAAAAAGGTCAGACAGTAGTATATTAGGTTTTGCCCATTATGAGGTCTCAGTCGCAACTACTCAACTCTGTCATTATAGCTAAATGCAGCCACAAATCACGTGTGAACAAATTGAGTATGGCTATGTTCCAAAATAAAGCTTTATAGAAGCAAGCCTTGAGCCAGGATAAGGCTTTAGGCCATAGTTTCCTGACCTCTGCCTTAGAAATCCGAATCACCGTCTCTACCACCATGCATCATCTTATTCACTCTGAGAATGAGGGGGAAAATTAAGAAAGAAAACAAAAAATAAATCACTGAACACTACATTAAAAACATGCTATGCTATATGCTGGCTAACTGAACATAATAAAAAACAAATAATTTTAAGAAGAAAATTTTAAAAAAAACACAAATTCTAAACTTTATATGCACCCCTATGATTATTGCAAAACAAAAAAAAAACCAGAAATATCTGATCCTCATGTAGAGGGAAATCTCCCATGAGATTTTGTAACCACAAACTAAACTGGACTTCACCTAAGTTTATGGCCCAAATTCAGAAATCAAATAACCAAAAAGTTTTCTAGTAAGAACAAGATAAGAAAATCTAACACCTAGGAGACAAAGGTCTTTTCTCCCAATAAAAATTTTTATACAAATGTGTAAGATCTTCTTAAGTATGTCTTCTGCTCATTTTTTCCCCTAAACTCCAACTATTTAATAAATAATTTCTACCTTAAAAAGTCCTTATCTTTAAAAGCCAGTAAAATGGAATTTAAGCTAAGAATAGTTACTTCTCAACATATATGCTTAACTTTTTCTCAAAGCACAGCATACACACAGAAGAGCACATAAAGCTCAACGAGTCATCACAAAGTGAACATATCCATGAAGTGAACAAACATATCCAGAAGGCCACGAGCATCCCAGGGTGGACCCTTCCAGTACTGGTGCCCCAGAGCCCGGCAAGGACTCTGCTACCCTGACTTCTGAAACCGCTATGTCACAGGGCTTGCATACATTCAGCTTTGGACAATGCAAAATGGCTTTTCAAAGTGCTGATGCCAATTTACACTCCCCCCAGCACTGAAGAGGACCTCTGTTCTTCCATATCCTCCCCAATATGCAGGTATTTTTTGCCTTTTTCACTTCAGCCATTCCAGTGAGCTCGTGGTGGGATCACATTGGTTTTCATTTCTAGTCCTTGATAACTAATGAAACTGTATACGTTTTATGTAAATTAGCCACAGAGATACCTGCTATTTTTGTACCCAATGAAATATCTGTTCAAGTCTTTTGTTCATTTTTTTATTAGGTTTTCTGTCTTTTTCTAGTTAATATGTAAGAGTTCTTTATAATATTCTGGATATGAGCTCTTTATTGGAGACGTATATTTTCAGCGGCTTCTCTCACTCTGGAAGTTGTTAACATAGTCCAATTTACCCATTTCTTTCCTTTACATTTAGGGTTGTATCCTTGCCAACATCTTCCCTGAAGATGTTCTGCAATTTCTCCTAAAAGCTTTACTATTTTTTTTTTTTACTTTTCATATTTTTTTCTGGAATTGAGCTTTGTGTATGTATACTGTGAGGTAAGAGTTGAAATATACTTTTTTCCAAAGAGAGAGCCAACTGTCCAGCAACATGCATTTCATAGACCAGCCTTTCTCCACTAGACTCTGTTACCACCCTTCTAAATCAGGTGATTGTATTATGTGACCCTATTTCTGGATGCTCTACTCTGTTTCACTGGTCTATTTTTGTCTGTCTTCACACCAATACCACCCAGTCCTAATAATAAAAATCTTAATATCTCAGTCACTTAAGTCCACCAGTTAAGCTTTTCTCGTTTGGGAATGTCTGGACCACTCAGAGTACTTTTCAGCCTGTTTTCCAAAGAAAGAACTGTGGAGTTGAGAAATGAGAGGGCTTCAGTGACAGCACGTTTCCCAACTGACCATAGCTTGACTGATGTTTTAAGACCCAAACTTCTGTTTTTAACTAACTTAACTGGCATTCTACTAGATACAGACTAACCCTTGACTGTGATATGGTGAGTGCTGCTCCTCATAGAGAGAGCCGTACTGTACAACAGTGCAGTGATATATTTCAGGAACTAATGAAGGACACAGGGCTGTTTTTGGTTTCCCTTGTTTACTGGCCCCGGACTGATTTATTTAATTTCTGTATTTCTTGTCTTCCTCTCTCTTCACAGTTAACTTGTTCTTTATTTTGAACATACGTATCCAAATAAGAACGTGCAGGTGACAAAATTATCATTGTTCTTAATGCAACATTTGTGAAAAGTTCTTTCCACCCTTCTGAGAAGATGTCTAGGGGGTTTTAAAAGGTATTATTATTATCACTACCACTTTTCAGTTTTCATTTGGATGAACAGAGTATTACAGTATTAGCCCAAACTTACTAGCTTGTAGACTCTGAAAGAAACTTCTCTCAGCTATAGTTTCTTATTTTGTAAACCAGAATAATATTAACACTGGCAGTGCTGCTGTAAGTTTTACAAGTATCTGTATGTCAAGTATCCCCCAACACCTGTAGCATACGGCACGTTCTCAGCTATTTTTGCAGCAAAAAATGGTTATACCTCGGGTCAAAACATTCCTCTGTCCCAGATTCAGTATTTTTCCCTTTTTCTATCAATCACCTCATCAACTGAGCATGCTAAGCTCTCGTTTAAATCCATTCTTCAGTTACAATGAAACGAACATGGTCTACCTTTGTCTCAGTAACCCATAGAGTCCAAATTGCAGTCGCCCAAACTCATACCTTACTTTACTCTTTATGGCTCTCTATTTAAATCACTTGCTTTGGTCTGGCTCAACTTACTTAATTTTAAGGATTACTGTTGGTTTCTGAACAAATTTGTTTCAGTTGCTTTTTCTCATCTTACCTGGCTTATCTGAACTGGTTCTCTCTGCTTCCTAATCAGTGCATTATGATTTGTTCTATGACTCCTGTTGATTCTATTCATTTGTCCTTTAAAATTTGCCCTCTGGTGGCACCTGGGTGGCTCAGTTGTTAAGCCTCTGCCTTCCACTCAGGTCATGATCCCAGGGACCTGGGATCCAGCCTGCTTCTCCCTCTCCCACTCCCTCTCTCTCCTACACACCCCTGCTTGTATTCCCCCTCTCGCTGTCTCTCTCTCTCTCTGTGTCAAATAAATAAATAAAATCTTAAAAAAAAAAAATTGCCCTCTGGTTGGGGGGAAAAAGTGAGCCAGTCAGATTATAAAGAATGAGATCAACAATAATCTGTGGTAACACTGTATCTCAATAAAAGGAAAAGGAAAGGACAACAAAACACACACAAGTGGGAAACAATGTAAAATATACACATTAAAAGGTAAGAAATAGGGATGCCTGGGTTGCTCAGTCGGTTAAGCAGCTGCCTTTGGCTCAGGTCATGATCCCAGGGTTCCGGGACTGAGTCCCACATGGGGCTCCTTGCTCACAAGGAGCATCCTTCTCCCTCTGCCTGGCACTCCCCCTGCTTGTTCTCTCTCTCTCCCTGATGAATAAATAAATAAAATCTTTTTTAAAAAAATAAAATAAAGTAAATGAGAATTCTTTTTTCTTTTTAAGATTTTATTTATTTATTTGACAGAGAGAGATCACAAGTAGGCAAAAAGGCAGGCAGAGAGAGAGGGGGAAGCGCGCTCCCCGCAGAGCAGAGAGCCCGATGCGGGGCTCGATCCCAGGACCCTGAGATCACAACCTGAGCTGAAGACAGAGGCTTAACCCACTGAGTCACCCAGGCGTCCCAGTAAATGAGAATTCTTAAAAAAAAGAAAAAGGTAAGATATGTAGCAGATAGAATTCTAAAATGAGTTTCAGAAACACAGAAATGTAAACAAAGAGAAATCTTTTTTTAAAAAAATAGCAATCAAGAAATTTCCAAAATTAAAGATCCCTTTCAGATGGAAAAGGATCATAGAGTGCAAAATAGTATATGATACTAAAACAACACTTAGACACATTTGAAATTTTAAAACCTCGAAGAGGACAAAGAGAATATAAAACTTCCTAGAGAAAAAAAGACAGTCTACCCACATAAGAAAAACCATCAGATTGACATCTGAGTGCCAAAGACAACACTAGGGGCAAGAAAATTACAGTAATCATTTATTCAAATTTGGAACGTTTAAACTTCCTCAAGCTGATAAAGGATATCTTCCAAAAACCTACACCAATTAATGGAGAAAATTTAGTTGCATTCCCTTTAGAATCAAGGATAAGACCATGATGATTACTATTTCTACAGCTACTCAATATAGTACTAGAGGAAGAGGCCCCCACAATAAAAGGAAAAAATAAAAAGTACGAGGACCAGTAAGGCCCTTATAGATTGTCTGTGTCCTAACTATAAAAGTTATAATTAATTAAGAAATTCTGATATTTGAGATGTTTCCATTTTGATAGGCTTCAATAAGCAAGATAAATCCTACCAATTCCTGATTAGAAAGCCTAACAGTGCTACAGGAGAACATGTGACAGTGCAGAAAAAATGCATGAGATTGCCAGTAAGCAAGCAGAAGAAAATGGTATTTTTATACATGCATCTCAAGTTTTAAGAACACAAATGAGCCTAATTACAGAAGATGGCTGGCATATTTTGACAGTCTTGGCTATTATCACATTGTCACATTATAAATTTCACTGCATTCTCTGCCATAAATTGTGTGCTGATTTTCAATCATAATGCATGATGGACTTAAAAAAAACAAAACAAAGAATGCCAATGAAAAAAGGGAAGATTACATTGTAAATACGAAAAAAAAAAATCTCTTCTTAAAGAGTTTTTAAATATACTGATATGGTTTTCAACCTCAGACATTCTGTAATGACTTAAAAATTAAGTGTCCCTCCATTCCTAAGCATTTTTTGTGCTCACTTGACTTTTTTCACATCTCTCTCTCACACCACACATCCCCCCAACCCCCCACCCCCCCACCCCACAAAAGACAGGCCTTTGCCTGAATGTACATGGAGCCTTTGGTTCAAAATCCCGCTTTGTTCATCTCAAGTCACTATTTCTAAGCGACAGTAAACAGGAAAAGAGCAATAACTGTGAAACTACAGAAGACTTCCTAGTATCAAAAGAAAATAAAGGTTTTATATCCAAGACATCTTCCTGTCTTTAATAAAATAATCATCAGTCTCTGACTGAAAGTTTAATCTAAGAACTCCACAAATTAACTGAAATCCAAAAATGCCCCCAAGACACGGATGAATCTAAAAACCTTTGCAAACATACCATAAAAATCTACTTTAGGACATCAGCAAACTGTTTTTACTGAAGGTATCTTTTCCCTGAGCCATGAATTCAACATCTTGGAGCCAAAAGATAACTTACACAAATTTTAATATGTAAGATCATGTCTTCAGAAAAAGGAACATATTTGAGTTCTCCAATATTTATTACAGATTTGGGTGGTGTATTCCTAGCCTGGTCTACTCTTTCCACTAACTGATATCTAATTACATCAACCAGAGAAGAATTATTCCCGTACCATACGATTATCATTCCTTATGATATGGCAAACTGTTTGAGTCCTCCCTGTGATTACTCTAAGCTGGGTTTAGTATGGGATTCCGTGAGATATAGGTACATGTGTGTATAAACTGGGGAGAATGTACCTGAACTATTTTCATGCCAAAAGTTTCTCCCAAATTATTCATTCAAGGCTCAAAAATAAGGCTCTTACAAAACAACCAGGTGCTACACACACTAGTGAAGGAAAGAAATATTTAAGAAAATAAGCTTCGAAAAAAAAATAAAAAAAAGAAAAGCGAAGCTTCGATATCCCAGAAGAACATGAAAACCTCTTCACCTTTAAACCACTCACTTAAAACTATTCTCTTTCCTTGGTTTCTGATAAAGCATTTATTTGCATGAAGACTTCTGATATTAGTTCTTCAGTTTCACATTATAAATAGGAAGTTACTGACACACATACACACACATACACACACACCCTCTCAACCAAGAACTAACAAAACAGGCATCATGATGTGAATTAGAAGACAGCCAAAACTACAAAAGAGCAGTTACATAAGAACCAGAAGAATCTCTCTAACCTACCTTCTTCCCAAAGTCTATCTTTTTTAAAAGCTATGGGAGACTTTTGAGAACAACGTGATTAGAGAATAGAAAGATCTATTTTATTCACCTACCATCTGGGGGTTACTAACCCTAAGGTAGAATACTTAGCAACTAACTTACTGATACAATAGTTTAATTTGGCGGTTAGGTAGGCCTTCATAAATAAAGTGACTACAGTTCAATAGATATGCTTATTTTTATAGCCCAGTAATTATAGCCACTGAAAGATTTACTCTGCCATAGAATACACATCAATGAAGAAGCCTTACAAATGAGGACTGATTAGTATAGAGTTAACACAGACCTTCAAAGACAATTAGAACACACTTCCTCTGATTATAGAACTGTCCAAAAAAAAAAAAAAATTCCTTGAATGCAAAAAGGAACATTATGAAGCTTTGAGAAATCAAAAAACATAACATAAAAGTAAAACATATAGTCAGGAGATACCCAAAACAGGAGCTACACACTCTAACCTTTTCACCCCAAATCAGTTCCTCCTTTTTCTTGCCACTCCAACATTGATGAAATGTAGAGTAATCGAAATTTACTCTGGAGACACACCAAGGGACTCCAAAAGGCCATGGAGGGAATTTCAACTAAAATTGAAAAGCCATACAGAGGTCTGCAAAGAAAAGCACACCACAGATCAAAACCTTTATGAGAAAGTTAATTAGCATCTACAGGTTTAATAAGAAAATAACTTCTGCCAATTTTACCATTACCAGAAAAGAAAACTAATCTAACAGATAATCAAAGAACAAAGCAACAGGTTCATGTCAACAAAAGCTCCGAAGAATCCCAAAGAAAAACATGCACTATTATGACTCCCCACTGACTCTGTGGATTTCTAAAGATTTCATATTTGGCAAACTCTTAACGTCTTTCTTAAATTTAAGTTATTAATTTCATTTGTGCACAGTACTGTACACTTAAAGGGTCAGGCTTAGTACTTCTGAACAATTACAGTTGCATAAAAAATTCACTAGCCTTGTGGGAAAACATTCATGGGAAAGGGTTAAAAAGAAAACCTCCGGGCACCCCCAGCAAGGGAACATTTGATTCTCATCCTTATTATGCTCTCTATCACAACCTCAAACACAGGGTTTTCTGGGAAACAGTTTGAACCCCGAGGGGCAAAAAAATACCAAACATTTCAATTCCCTGTAACGATTTCCCAATGATAAACTGTATCTGTGAAGGCACCTCATCAATTAAAATTAAATGGAATTTTAATACCATTAATCCAGACGTTTAAAATTTTGTTTTAAATAAGTTTTGTTTCTTCTAACCTGAATTTCCTTAGGTCTCACAATTTAAAGTGCCTTTATTTCTTCTCGCGCTTGTCACTCCTCATTAGGGTTGTGAACAGCACATTAAGGGGACACTAAATGGGCCACGTGGTTGGCAGTGGTTGCTGGAACCGGTTTAACTTCGATTCAAATTCAGTTAGAGGAGCACTTCATAGATGCATGGCTTGGCTACCTGCACTACAGTTTACTGACAGACTTAAACCTGTATGAACCTGAATAGGTCTTTGCTGCAAAGCCCTCCCCAAACCTCACATGTCCGCTGAATTAGAGGGCACAAACAGTAGAAACTAACCCAAGCTGGACCACTAGGTAACAGACAGAGGTTTTAAAAGTCCTCCCAAGGAGCAGCCCAGGACTGGCGTCTGGTCAGCATCCTCATCAGAACTCGGAGCACCCAGGAGACCCGCGCCTCCGCTGAGCCCATGGATGTGGGACCCAGTGTAGACGCAAACCTCGGAGAGACCCCCATACGACCACCTGTCAGAGCAAGAAGCAGGTCCCTACCCAGGAGTCTCCAGCCCCTGCCCACAGAAGCTGTTCCCTCGGGGCTCCCGGAACCGAAGGACCACACATTCCGCACTCGGGCCAGGAACGTCCCGGGTCGTGACCCTGCCGACCGACCGACCACGCCCAACCCTCCGCTGAGACTGACTCCTGGGTGGGGTCAGCCGGCCCGCCGCGAACCCCGCTCTCCCCTGCAGCCGCTCCTTCTTAACCGTCCTGCTCAGCTGTGTCGCCGCCGTCCGAGCCGGAAGCCTGCTACTTACCACCTGACCACCGCACCGAGTAACTCCCACTGCCTTGTTTAACGCCGCTGCCGTCGCCAACGCCGCCGCCGCCGCTGTCTTCGTCACCGTCGCAGCCGCTGCCGCCGCCATGTTTGTTGTGTTTCCGATTCTCTTCCCGCCCCACTGCCCTGTCCAAGTCTCGCGTGAGCAGTACGCAGGGCAAAGGCGAAGAGGGGAACTGTATGTCTCTCTTGGGGTTCCGTAGGCGCGAGGGGGTGGGGCCAGAGAGGCGCGCCGGGGGCGGGGCGGAGACGAGGCCCTGGCTCCGCCCCAAAGCGCTGGCGCTGGGCCGGGAGGCACTGAGCAGCGACTTGTTGGGCTTGGCACGGTTACTCGGTCTGCAGCACCCATGGAGCGAGCGGCGGCTCGGCTGCTGCGTGGCAGCGCGCTGGTGAGTGCGCTGACGCCGGGCGTCCTAGGAGTCGGGGACGACCTTGGCACTGGCAGCGGGGGCTTCTCATATAACGGGACCGGGGAGCCCGCTGCACGTCCCGGGTCGGAGCCTCCTCTCCGCCCGATCGGTCTCAGACCCTTCACCCGGGGCTGATCGCGACTCCGATCTCCCTCCAGGCCTCTGGCGGAGCCGGCCTCCGCTTCTCTTAGGAGGGGGTGACAGCTGGTAGCAGCTGGTGAGAAAGGGGCTGGGAGCTATTCTAGAAGCTTCTTTACGCACCATGAGTGGAATCGGAGCCACTGGGCCATGGGAGCCTCGGAGTTTAGGATCTTTAGGGGCATTTTGCAGAGATGTTACCTCTCTATTGCCACGTTTCCCCAATTATTACATTTCATCCCCACTCCCAATTTTAACTGAAAAGATGGTTAAAATACAGTCCCGGTCTCTTTCTGAGCAGAGCGTTTCCGTGTCTTGTGCGGCCCATCTCCAACGTTAGGAAGGGACCTCGGAGTTGGTCAGACTTACCGACCAGTTAAAGAATTCCCTCTGCCCTTTATCTCATGACTGGAGCCCCAGCATCTCCCATGGGTGAGCTCTGCGCGGTTCGGGGGTGCCCATTCCCGCCCCGCTGCCTTGAACTTGAGCTGAAAGCTGCTTCCCAGGATTATCATTCCACCTGTTGTACCGAATTCTGCTCTGGGGACTGGCCCAAACTGTAGATTCTTTGATACTTCGTCAGGGTTTTCTCATATTAAGCGTTCCCACTATCAGCTTTTCATCCTAGGGCATGCTTTCCAGAAAACCCGCACACATTTGGATATGCGGCACTTCGTTGTCATCTTGACTTCTGCTTCGTTGTAAACGTTTTCACATTGGCTTTAAAGGCTCTTCAGAGTGCTCCTTCAGTGAGTGTTATGCCCAGAGGCAGAACTCTTGTTTGTTTAATTAAGAGTAGTTAATGTTATTTGATTGTTTTATGGGCTTGGGGTATTAAGAAAATTACTAAAGTCATATTGGGTTATTGCTGCAAAGAAATAAGCCTTTATGACACTGTCAGTACTATTTTATACTTGTTATTTTAACAGTTTAGTAAAGAAAATTCCCAGGGCTTTGCAGTTTGACTCTCCTTTTAGAGTCAGCCCTCATTGACCACATACTGTGCGGCAGACTTGTTCTGGGCTCTACCTGTGTCGTCTCATTTGATTCTTCTTTTTCTCAAGACTTTATTTATTTATTAGAGAGTGAGTGAAAGAGAGCACAAGCGGGGCTGGGGGAAAGGGGAAAAGGGAGCTTAGCAGGTTCAGCAGGGAGCCTGATGCCTGGTTCAAACCGAGGACCCTGGGATCATGACCTGAGCCAAAGGCAGACTTTTAGCCAGCTGGGCCACTCAGGCACCCCTGATCTTACTTAATTCTTATGAACCATCCCACACAGTGGTAGTTTAATCTGTTGGCTACAGAGGCTGAAGCTGAAAAAGATCATGTGACTTGCTCAGGGTCACTCAGCTAGAAAGTGGTAAGAGCTGGTGTTCCGATTCCAGTCTGATGCTAAATTTCATGCACTACTGCCTCCCTCCCTTAGAGGTAGTGGAGACCTATTTTGGTTGGATTTGTTTCGGATTTTGTTTGGATTTCTTTGGATTTTGTTTGGATTTGTTTTGGATTTATTGGGGCTTATCGTCTTTCATAATTTTTAAAGCTCATTTACATTAATTAGCTAATGTGATTGATGGGATGGTGAGTCTAGCACTGTGGTTAAGAATGTGGTTTTGCAGCCAGATTGCACAGGCTGTGTCACTTCGTAGCAGTATAATCTTGGACAGGTTACCTCTGTGGATCTTAGTTTCTTGATCTATAAAATGGGGGAGAATAATAGCATCTAGCCATAGGGGGATGTGAGGCCTTTAAAATAGTGCCTGGTGGGGCGCCTGGGTGGCTCAGTGGGTTAAAGCCTCTGCCTTCGGCTCAGGTCATGATCCCAAGGTCCTGGGATCGAGCCCCACATCGGGCTCTCTGCTCTGCGGGGAGCCTGCTTCCTCCTCTCTCTCTCTCTCTCTCTCTCTCTCTCTGCCTGCCTCTCTGCCTACTTGTGATCTCTGTCAAATAAATAAATAAATAAAATCTTTAAAAATAAATAAATAAAATAGTGCCTGGTGTAGAGTCAGATGTCATTAAATGTTAGCTCTTACTATTGCCATGCGTGAGGCATCATGTCCTATGGCAGATACACTAAAGACCCTGAACACTTAGCTTTTAGAAATTTCTCTTTTAGTGGAGAAGTTAGAACTGTATCCAACAAATCTGCTGTTATGTAGACATACAAATCCCAGGGGTCCACAGTCTGCCTGTGGGTTCGGAGGAGGGAGCGATAATTAGGACCATTAGGGGAGAAAGAGGCTCTTTGGGAGCTGGGTTTAGATTTTAGGAGAAGAGAATTGGGGGAAAACACTGCAACAGAAGGGGACTGGGGGCATTGTAAGGAATGCTGGCGTTTATCCTTTGGATTGTCTAGAGCCTTGAAAGGTTTTGAGCCTTGGTGGTAGAGAATCATCTATGATCTAGGGTTATTGCTGTCATAGCAGGTGCATAGAGGCTAGAGAATTGCAAAGTAGGGCCAATTTTGGTCCCTCTCAAAGACCAATGGAGGGGCGCCTGGGTAGCTCAATAGGTTAAGTGTGTGCCATCCGCTCAGGTCATGATCCTGGGATCAAGTCCTGCACGGGCTCCCCGCTTAGCTGTGGGTCTGCTTCTCCCTCTCCCCGACTGGTGCTCTCTCTCACTCTCTCTCAAATAAAAGTTTTTAAAAGAAAAAGATAAATGGAAAGGCAGAATTTAGTGAGAATTTACAGTAGGCCAGGGAGAGCATTTTATATCCTGCACCCAATGCCCTCTTTTCTGTCGGACAGGTATCAGTGGCTTCATCTCACCAATGAGGAGCTGGGAGGCAGTGAGTGTTCAGTGTGCTCTTGACATCCAGCAGTAAGGTCACAGCGTGGACACTCAGCCACGCTTGCCTTCTCAGAAGGACTTTGTTGTCCCTGCAGATATATCGGAACAAACCTGTCCCTTATGTTTGGGCGACCCAATTTGTAGAGAATTGACTGGGTCACCCCGTGGTTCCAAAACATTTTAGGCAACTTGATACTTCACAAAAGGTCATTCTTTTTTTTTTTTTAAGGATTTTTATTTTATTTAATTGACAGAGATCACAAGTAGGCAGAGAGGCAGGCAGAGAGAGAGGGGGAAGCAGGCTCCCTGCCGAGCAGAGAGCCTGATGCGGGGCTCAATCCCAGGACCCTGAAATCATGACCTGAGGCAAAGGCAGAGGCTTTAACCCACTGAGCCACCCAGGCGCCCCACAAAAGGTCATTCTTGAAAAATATTCTTGATGCGATACTTCCTTGTTAGGTTAATCCTATAAAGGACTGCGAGTTGTTGGAACTGCTAAACTAGATACATATCTTGTTCAGCTTTTTGTTATTCAAGAAAACCGACAGCACTTTTTTGGACATCTGTGGCATCTGGGCAGTGAGAACTGAGTACGTGCATAAGTAGAAATTATTCACCTGCTGTAAATCCAGGCCCTGGAGTCAGAGCACCTCTCCACCGCCTCGTAGCGGGACAACCTCAAGACAGGTTGCTGCCCCATTCTGCTTCTCTTTCCTTTCCTGCAAAGTGGGGAGGACAGTAGTATTAGGGCGATGTTAGATGTTAAGTGCTTAGAACGGCCCTTGGTGCATAGTAACTACTCAGTAAACGCTCACTGTTAATACAGGCAGAGTCCATTACTAGTAACTCCAGGAGGAGGGGGTGGGGTGTCTTTGTGCAAAGTACTCTGATTAATGTTGGGGGTCTGTACGTTTACAACAGGGTCTTTGACCTCAGGGAAATTACATTTTTAGTTGGAGAGACAAGGTATATGTGTTAAGAAATGCCATTAAGGCTGTAGAAGATTTGATTTATTCCCAGTGTTACATAAATAGCATGGACAGATGTGCTTATAGAAGGAGGGGCTGGAACTGAGCGTCAAAAGAAGGGGTGGCTTAGGTTTAGGGAAAGCAGCAGAGGGGTGGAGATGATAGGCCAAGGGAGCTGTGTGCACCAAGGTATAGCGTAGCAATATACAGCACTAGTTTAAGAAATAATTATTCTAGCACTGCTGGTGTGATAAGTTCGCAGTTTGATGGAGTGAGTTAAAATGACGAGTCTCTATCGCGTGACGTGGTTATGTCCATACTTGTTCCTGCAACAGTGAGATTTGCTCCAACTGGGTTGTCCACAGTCCCAGAGAACAACCCTTTTGTCTACTAAAACACAAGCATTCATAACGTTATTACTCATCAGTACAGAGATGCATTTTTTTCAAATGGAAATAGGGCCTTGTTTCCCATCCTTCTTTCTTTCCAGTGCCAAGAAGACTTAAGTAACCATAATGATCTTCTCTGGCAGTGGTAAGATGCTCTCTCCTTCCAAGATCCTTTCACCAGACTTGCCTTGGGCTTACATGGCTTTGACTCCTCCTTTCCTAAGTGCTAGACCAGGGGTTCTCAGTTTGGGCGCTGTTGACCTCTGAGGCCGGATCGTTCTCTGTTGTGGGAGGCTGCCCTGTGCATCCCAGGGTGTGGAGCACGCCTGGCCCTTGCCACAGCTCAACCTGTCTCCAGGGACTGCCAGCGTTCCTTGGGGGTAAAAGGGTGCCGCTATTCAGAACCACTGGTATAGACCCGTGCTCCATGTGTACTCCGAGGGTGGGAAACGGTGGCCCTTCTCCGTATAACCTGGTAGAAAACCCCGTCTCATCCTATTTGCCCCACCCAGTTTCTTGACCATAGAAATTGGTTTTCAAGATCTCAGCAGGAGCCACTGAGATCCTGAGCTGCCGTTGGCCAAAGGGTCTCAGGAGATAAAACGGGTAGTACCTTGCAGAGGGAACCCAAGAGGTCAGGTCACACTTAGACCATTTCAGAAGTTCGCCTATGGCGGGACGGGCCCTCAGCTAAGGTGATACCACTGAATGGGGCATTCATAAAGGAAGCCTTGAAAAGATTGGGTCATTATCTTGAAATGGAGGAATTAGATGGACACCGTGTTTTCTGAATAGAGTAGCTGAGTGATGTGCAAAGATTGGGGCGTCTGGAGGAAAACAGTTTAGAGGGAACAGAATGGAAGATGATTCATTCTGCTTTAGACTCCAGACTTCTAAAAGTGTCAGTTAAACTTTTGACTGGAAGCACTTTGGAAGCTGAGCAGGAGAGGGAGCTGGAAACTAGTAGAATCAGAGCCAGAGTTACAGGTCTGAGCCTTTGGTGTCTATCACAGACCATTTGGGGGGACTGTTGAAGACAAGCAAGGCAAAGAGAATTATTGTGGGGTATCCCTTAGAGGAGGATTTGTGACAAGTATTTATTCAGAACTGGAGCAAAAGAAGGAAAGGATGTTTAAGTCCAGTCGTAGGAGCAAAAGTACAAGCAGAACTTGAGCCAGCTAGAGTAAAGAAAAGAACTGCTAGGGAGCAGGGGCAGGATGTTTTCAGAATTGCAGAGGAACCCAGGGCTAGCCTTTGGAGATGCTGGAATGCACCTTGAGGCAGTTCACCTTGTGAACTGAGTCTATTTAAGGAGAGAGAACCGCTTCAGGTTCTTAAGCTCCAGTCGTTCCTTTAGCGTCCACCAGCCCCTGCAGGCATTTAAGTGTGCAACTCCGAGTCTGGAACCTCAGGTCTCTTGACTTCTGTGTTAACTGCTCTCTCTGCTGCTAACCTGGTTTACCCGCAAAGGAAGGCAGTTCCCATACCTGGTAAGGGGCTGGATCCAAGTTAATTGCACAAGTAAAAATTGTTTTAAAGGGCGCCTGGGTGGCTCAGTTCATTGAGCATCTGACTCTTGATTTTAGCTTGGGGCTGTACGTTCAGGCCCCCGCATGGAGCCTACTTTAAAGAAAAATTGTTTTAAGTTCATTAAAAACCTCATCTTATAGGTTTTCTTTAGAAATAGGGATAGTTTTGGAAAGAGAGTAGCTGACCTGGCCAGGGCCATATGAAGACAGACAGGTTTCCTCTGTGCTGATGCCCTGGCCCTGGGCCCCATCTTGCTTTATTTTGCTCTCTCCTGAGACCAACCATCTCTGTGTATTCTTCTCCTAGAAAGTGGTGGCGTTGTTCCGAACCAGTAGATACTGGAAGGAGGAGCCCCAGACTGGTGGAAGGAAGGGCTGCCTTTTTAATAGCTCCAGAGAACTCCTAGCACGGAAGCTACTGGTTATGGAGAAAGCAAGCAGAGGTCAGAGGGGTTCTGGTGGAGAAGTTTTGGCTCAAGGATAGGAAAGCAGAGAAAGGATCCGCTTAAAATTTGAAGTGGGATATGCAGTACTTAAATGAGATCTTAAAATGGATATCCTGGATTTAGTTAGAATTCAGTAAAAGATCTGTCTAAAAGATGAGAATCCTCCTTTAGAAAGTGGGGAAGATGGGGTGCCTGGGTGGCTTAGTGGGTTAAAGCCTCTCTCTGCCTTAGGCTCAGGTCATGATCCCAGGGTCCCGGGATCGAGCCCCACATCGGCCTCCCTGCTCCGTGGGGAGCCTGCTTCCTCCTCTCTCTCTGCTTGTCTCTCTGCCTACTTGTGACCTCTGTCTGTCAAATAAATAAATAAAATCTTAAAAAAAAGAAAGAAAGAAAAGTGGGGAAGAAACATTGCGTCATCGAGTCTATGGAAGAATCCAGAAGCCATGGACAATACAGCAGCATTAACAAGCAAATCTCCTTACCGCCCCCACTGCCTCTCCTCCCCTTGCCAAAAGGAAGACTAGCCAACTTTGCAGGGCCCTGCCTCCTCCTCCCACAGAGCCTGAGGCAGTAGAAGAAAAGTGTGGCCAGCTGATTACATAAAAGGGCCCTATCTGTGTCAGTTACAAGTTCTGTGTTAAATATTTAGTCCAGTAAACCTGCAAAACTATTTATATACT